TCCCCAAGGAGCTGTATGAGAAATCCATTCATTTTTATAAATGCAATCTCATACTTTCCTGTCATTGTTGAGCAAAAGTAGTATTGATTGCTAAAATGCTAAGGCCTAAGTGTGCTTTTTTAAAGCACCAAAATCATATATAGACTTTATTTGATTTTAAATTTTATTGTAGTTGACTTGCAAAGCAGATATTTAGATAAGTATGGGTTTCATGGGATTTCATACTAATATTTTTGACTGCTGAACTCAGACTCTAGGGGGAAGCTGTGTTACTCTTTCTGTCTTCACACTGAGCCACTGGAAATGGTCACTTGAAAATTGGTGTTTGCTTTGAGCTTTTTTCCCCCCAAAGCCAGCCCTTTGTAGGCAGATGAATGTGTAACATTTGAGAAATCTCCAAAGTGAATAAAAGGGAAATATATAAAAAACTATTGGAGTGTTTGTGTAGAGCGAAAAGCAGGAATGAGGAGAGCTTTAGGGAAGTGCGTTAGCAGGCCGCACTTCTGAGTCATTCTCCTTGTAACAGCCTGGTTTTTGTCATAGAGTGACAGATCTCATATACACCTGTAGTCCCAACCGAAGGCCGATTTACATAAAGTCCTTCTGGTTATTCTTCAGGTCAACCCCCACCGCACTTTGCCGTGTGAAAGAAGGAGGCCGTCGTGCCAGTGCTCAGCCTGGCCCAGGCAAGCGTGGGCAGCTGGTCAGCACAGTGGGGTCACCCCCCAGTGCACGTCAGCATGGCAGCAGGACCAAATCGTTCTAAGTGTCTATCAAACTACCCCCTGAGATGTACTGGGCGTTCATCGCCACAGCTGTGGATTCGAAATCTGTAGAAACAGGACACCAGTAACGTGTAACAAAAACTAAGCCCATGGCCCCACTAGAAACATGAGCCCAGGGGTCCGGGTAGGACGCTCTGTTTTTCCAGGTACAGCTTAGTTTTGGTAGGGTTTGCATTGAAAATGTTCCGCTCGCTTCAGTTTGCGTTTTTGCCTGTTTTTGTTTTGTTGCTCTTGCTCCCTTTTGGAAAAAGAGAGTGATGCTCTCTGCTTCTTCGCTCTCCTAATTCCATTTGGAGGGCTCCAGACAGCGCTGCGCTCAGAGGGTCAGTGAGTCAGGGAGAGCGGCCTCTGGAGAGGGGCCAGCTTCCTCTGAGGCAGCGCGGCCCCCAGCCTCACTGCCGAGCTTGCCGAGGGCCTCGGAATTGTACCCAGCCCAGCCAAATGAGAAGCTCTTTGTTGTGAGCCCCAGAAATCCTCCCGTATCAGCAGCAGCACGCTAAGCCAAGGAGTACTCCGGTTAGTCCAAGGGGCGGCCATCTTGTGTTTCCTTCCACAAAACAAATTGTCTCCATTTCTAAAATTCAACAGAGTGCACTGCAAGCTTCACTTTGGTATTATACCCATTTCACTTGGCAGCAGTTTCCAAAGCATTAATGAATAGGATTCTTCTGCGGTGGTGAACGACTGGCCCCCATCCAGCCAGGCGGCCGCTGCTTTGCTCCGGCCACACGTGCCCCAAGTCCCTAGGAAGCCTCATTTCCGTTCCTGCTGCCTCCTCACTTGGGTGCCCCGGAGGCCTGCAGCACACAGGGTAGACTCCTTCCGAGAAGCAGGTGTCCGGGGAGCTGTTTCATTCACGTCACCACCACTGCAGATCACTTTGGTTCTCACTACCTCCACCTCTGTGAAGCCCAGAGCAGTACTGAGAAGAGCAGCCCAGTGCTCTGGTTTGCCAGCTTCCTGCGACTAAAGACCCACACACCAGACACACAGAAAAGTGTCGACAGTAGACTGCTATATGCCATTGTACTTTGTCTCATCACTTACTAGCTGTGTGACTTTAGGCAAGTCACTTAACTTTTCTGACCCTTCTTTATTTGTACATAAGCATAATTTCACATACCTTCCTCCAGAAATTTAAAAAATTAAATGTATAAAGTACCTAGAAATCATACCAAACATATTGAAAGTACTTAATAAATTATTAATGTTATTGTCATTGTCAGCCCCTCGATGTTCAGATGTAAAAACTGAGGCCCAGAGCTAAGTGCAGTGGCTCACACCTGTAATGCCAGCACTTTGGGAGGCCAAAGCAGGAGAATTGCTTGAGGCCAAGAGTTCGAGACCAGCTCAGGCAACACATAGAGACCCTGTCTCTGTGAAAAATAAGAAAAATTAGTTGAGCATGGTGGTGCACACCTATAGTCCCAGCTACTCCAGAGGCTGAGGCAGGAGGATTACTTGAGCCCAGGAGTTCGAGGTTACAGTGAGTTATGATCACACCACTGCACTCCAGTATGGGTGACAGAGCGAGACCCTGTCTCTAAAAACAACAAAAGCAAGTACAGAAACTGAGGCCCAAATAACCAAAGTGATTTGTTCCCAAACAGTGGAAAGTATAGCTAGTGACAGAGTCAAGAACCCTGGCTTTTTAACTAGACTTTTAAAACTACAGGTATGGTTTAATTGCAGCTGGCAACTAACATCCATCCAACACATGGACCTTGAAATCTTTGATATTTTTTTTTTATTATTTTAAAGGTATTTTTAAAAACCTGTAATATGCACCTTGATCATCTTACGGTGATTAAGATGGACAGTGCTGACTCAGGGGATAAGTTGTAGATTGGAGTAAGATGGTCACTTCATTTAATCATCTGCCTGGTGGATTTTATACTCTGATTCTCTTCTTCACCTTAGTATAAACAAGTATCTCAAGGAACCATGAGTCTCCTACATGTTAGTTACACTACATGTGAAACTGAATTTAGTGGAAGCTTAAAAAAGTGACCATGACTTTTTACAATGATAAAAACGTTCTCTGAGTTCATTCATTTGACAGATTATTGTAGTAACTCTCACATGCAAGGATTACTGAGGCCCAGCGCCTCCTCTCAGGAGGCTTACACACCCAGGAGAGCCAAGGCAGATATAAGTTAACATACAGAAGGAAGAGCTGAGTGCTTCAGTAGAGAAGTCAGGGCTTATTTCCAGGTAGAGCAATAGGGACAGCCTGGGGGCAGGGGGACACTAAAATGGACCTTGGAGAATAGGTCAAAGTTGGCTATGACTTGGAAGTAGTATTCCAGAAAACATATCCTGTTCGTAAGTTAAGGTGCCTTTCAGTGATTTATCTGCCTAGAAATTGAAAGAAGAGTCTCAACAGTGCCACGTTTGAAAGTTACATGAATGCTAAAAGGTACTTGAGTTAATGCCAGTAGCCTACAGAATAAGATCCGAACCATATAGGAACGTGTTTATAGCTACTGTACAATGTATGTATAAGTATTTGATGACCTAGAGGTTAATCAGAAGCCATTGAATGATCTCAGATCTGTTTTTAATGAACTGCAGTGGGAATTATAATTCTGATTTAGCTGTCTGTGGTTATTCAGACTGGACCCACAGTGAGCAGAGAATTGAAGGCCGAAGTAACATATCCTTCTCCCAGAGCCATGCTCACACCTAACAGTCTTTCAGCATTTTAAGAATGTTCTTTCCAAGCCATCCTTGAGTGTTAGTTTGTGTAGAATTTCCCTGAATAGTTTATCTAATATTTTTTCTGAAACACTTTTAAATGTTTGATACTTTGATTTTTCAAATGGTTCATGTTTGAACTTTTTCTACAGACCAGAAAGTTGAATCCACTGAAAATAGGTACATGAAAGGAACAACATATTGGGTTTTTTTTTTTTAAGAGTTGGGGTCTCGCCATGTTGCCCAGGCTGGACTCAAATTCTGGGCTCATGTGGTCCTCCCACCCCAGCCTCCTGAGCAGCTGGGACTATAGGCATGGGCGATAACTCTGCTTTAGCATATTGGTTTTTAAAAATGATTTTTGTTAATCTTTTAAAGAATCTCTTTTTAAAATGTTGACTATTGTGCCAAGTGATAGTTCAGTGGTGGTGGAGGAGGTTGTAATCATAATTAGTTTGACAGATAAGCAAAGTGTCTGTGGATTTTCACCTCTCTTATTAGCTGTACTACTAAGATTACACAGTGCTAGTCAAAACTTGGAGAACTTTTTGAAAGGCATGCTATTTACATAAGAAAAGCTTGACTGCTAGGGTGGAATTGTAAAGTTTTTGCCACATTGCCATCATCTCCGCATCGTAATGCTCCTCCGGGAACGAAACCACTGTGCAGTTTAACTCTGAGCAGTCAGAGAATGACACTGCATGAAGTCGTCCCCTTCAGATCAAAGAACACCCTTCTCCTTGCCAGAGGGAAGAGATTGTCTCTCACAGAGCAAAGGATAAAACTGAGACTAAGTCACCGAACAAGGAAGTCAAAGTCAGCCTCACTGCGGGCGAGGGGCGACTTAGTATATCAGGGACATTTCTAGCCGATCTCAGCACCCCACTCCTCCTGTAACACAAAAGCCCCGTCCATGAGAAGTGGAAGTCTGATGTCTACTATGTAATTTTAATATAAAAATTGCCAGGTTTTTAATGGGACCCAATTACAAAAGTTAAATAATAGTGTTGAGGAGAGTTGGAAATGCTTTCTCCCATATTCATTATATCAGAAAATCTAGGCCAAAGAAATTTTTTTAAAAAAAATTCCTGCACTGCCCATTTGTTTTTTATTTTTTGACTTCTGATTTTTGATGTGAGGATTTTAAGTAGTGTTAATAGATCTTAGTAAATGTTAGAAGTTAATTTTGCTTGCTTTTGTAATTCCTGTTCTTATTTCAAGCTCCCCCTTTCTTGCTTATATTCCTCTATATAAATAATAACTTGGAACACTTGACATGATTAAAAATGTGTAATTTATTTGTGGGATTTATATTATTTGAAATTTTTAAATAGTGTATTAAATATCCTATAGCAATGGAGTTCAGCCTCTCTCTCCAGGAAATAATCTAGTCTAAGCAAACATGTATAATGATAGCCCTGCCCCTTACATAAGTGCATTATAGAAATGACTGCCAGGGCGAACTGCAGCTGATGTGCGTGGTCAGTGTGTGTGTGCCTGTGCTTTCTCTTCGTATAGGCAAGGCAGTTTCCCTGGCATGAACCAGAGTGGACTTATGGCTTCCAGCTCTCCCTACAGCCAGCCCATGAACAACAGCTCTGGCCTGATGAACACACAGGCGCCGCCATACAGCATGACGCCCACCATGGTGAACAGCTCGGCAGGTAACCTGGGTAGCGCTGGGCTCCCGTGGGCCACCCTCTCCCTGCCTCTCCCTGCTTCTCCTCGCCCTCTCCACGCCCTCTCCCCTCCCTCTCCTCCTCTCAGGCTTCCACCAGTGAACGTGCCCAGACAACTCAAGAAGCCAGATCTGTTGGAAAAAATGGGAATAATACCACTTTTCTGCTTCTTGGAAACTTGCTCAATCTACTTAATATTTGAGAATCACATATTTTATGTAAATTATTTTTATTCATTCTGTGTTTGTATGGTATGTGGACATATTTCAAGTATCATCGGAGATTGATTGTTAAATATACACACTAAGTTCTCTTTATCTTTGGGAGTTATTAGTATTGGAAGATCCCAGAACAAAAACTCTCCATTTGGTAGTGGTGGAGACAAACATTTAGAATGTGCATTTCAGAGGAATTGGTGGAAGAGCAGGTCAAGGAGGGTTGAAAGTGCTTTTTTTTTTACTTAAGGAAATACCTTTAAATGTATACTGGGAGTAGTTGCTTCATAAGTACTATTTGCAGATTATCTCTACTGAGAAGTTGTTTTAAATGCTTCATTATGTTTAGTTCTTCCAGTCCGCTTTATAATTTCAACTGTTGCATTCTTACAAAATCATGTCTGCTTAGTGCAATTGATTAGTAGTGGGTCTAAAACTCTGCAGACCTCCCATGTTCTTAGATTCTTTGAGACTCTTGAACCCCCCTCCTCAAGTTCTCTAGCTACCTAAAGACAGTGAGCGCTACTGTTTAAATCAGAGCATGCTATGCATTTCCGTCGACCTGTTGTCACCTTACATCACACATTAGAATGGTAGACGCCCTGTTGGCAGGATCCTCTCCTTCAGCTCATACATAGCTCTGCTTAGCCGGTCGTGTACCTTCCAGTGCCTTACCACGGGTCAGGAAAATGCTGTGTGAGAGCCCTGGTTCTCCCTCCTACCTTTTCTCATTCCTCTGCCTTCCAGAAGGCCTCCCAGAGGTCAGTGTCTTTCTGTCAGGCGGCACAGGCCCTGAGAGGGGGCTTGCCTCCTATCTGAGCATCTGAGTTGCTGATTTCTGGGGTCTAGTTGAACAGTGGCATTCCCCGACTAATTCTCTCAAAAGGTTTGTGAAAGAGGAACACACAGAAACTGTTGGCAAAAATGAAGATTTTTAAATAAATGAAATATCCCTTCCTGATGTTAAGCGGGCAGTTTCTTCATCCCAGTGAGGTGGATGTTTTTGCGTTTGAGAGGAAAGTGAAAAACCCTGAGCAGTATGTTAGCCGGAAGCCTCCGGTCTCCCTTGCCGGCGCTGGCCCAGGGACTGGAGCGTGGGGTTAGGACACTGCACGTTCTGTCTGGCTTGCTGAAGTGAAACGACTTCAGAGCATTGAAACTACACAATAAATTTTCACCTACCATTAGCAGTGCTCATTTTTGCCTTCTTCCTCAGACCCCAGAGCCACAAAAATACCCAACAGCAAGCAGATGGCACAGTGCCCTGCCTAAGATGATTTATGTATTCCTAAGGAATAACCAGTTTAATGAAGATTCACAGAGAGGGTTTCTTTTTATTATTATTATTCAGATAATTTAGCTATTCGTTATTCCATACAGAGGAAATCTGTTCAGTGAAAGGCTATTTATCCTCACAGTCTTTTGTGTGGGGTAGTAGTATTTTTTTATTGCGTTGTGCATTTGAAACATTGAATTTTTAATAATTTAAACATTTGTCAAGTTTTCCTTCACACGTTTATATGATCTTAATTCCAGCTTTATTAAGTCAAATGCTCCCCAATAGAAAGTGATCATCCAGCACATCAGAGGACGGTGACCATTTAGCACTCACTGTGCACCTGTTGATAGATACACGTGAATCTGCTGTAACTGTGTTATGCCCTCAGAGGGACACAGGAGTGACACAGAATGGCACAGCGTAGCTCCCGGCGAGAGTTTTGGTCTGAAGGTGTACACTCAGCTTTGCTAGAGATGGGCCAGAAATGGCCTAGATCAGCCTCACTTCAGTCTGCTTGGTCTGGGCCCATAGAGATAAATTGCCGGTGATAACAGCAAAGCATTTCACTATCAGAATGTACTTTTGGAGAAAGTGAAGATAGCACGAATGATGGCCAGGGCTGGCAGTGGAATTTTCTGAACCTCAGTTAGCAGCCAATGCAACTGGCATTCCAGCATTCTCTTCACCAAGTTCAAACAATTGTGTTGTAGACAGTGTGCAGGCCAAAAAATCCTCCTGTGTAGTGACAAATTGTTACAGGCTTCAGTGAGCAAGTAATTATTTAAATGGAGTCAGTGCGAGTATAAATGTGACATCTATTTCTTCTCTTAAAATGCCACGGGAAGTAGGATCGTAAGCAGTGGGAATTTTTCCCTCTGAAAAAGCTTTTTGGTTCTATTTTAACTATTTAGATGAAAAGGTTAGAATTATGTATTTCTATGGGCAACGTTGTAAGTCCCTTGTTAAATATGCCCTTATACAATACATGTGTTGTTAGTTGGATTTTACTTATTCGTGTTTAGTTTTATAATATTCGTTAGCCATGTACTTGTCTGCATATAAACCAACATCTTAAAGTGGACATCTAAATTCCAAAAAATATATCTGCCATCTGTGGTTCTAAGTTTGCCTCACCAGAAGTTACTCTACCAAATGTAGGGCATTTCCACCACTGTAGCCTATAAATAGTACAGAAGCAGCCATATGCCACTGTGGCCGGCTTCCTGTCTTACAGAGCCCTGCTTAAGTGCCAGTAGTGAGTCTCTCTGCTAACCTTGCAGTGCTCAATTCCCAGTGCAGAGTGTCCTATTGATGTACCACCAGTGCAGGTATCCTAGCTCAGGAGCCCTTTAAAAAGGAAAAAAGAGTTAAGAACCACCTACTTCAGGCTCTCCTGGAATGCTTGTTAAAACTACAGATTCCTGGGCTCCCATCAGACTTCCAGGAATCTGCAGCCTTAGCAAACTCCTCAGGTAGCTTCCATGTGTGTGTGCTCAACTTTGGGAACCACCAATTTAGAGGTGTTTTGCTCAACAGTCTCCTAGCAGAACTGCTGCCAGCATTGTATGGCATTAGCTGTTTACCAGATAATTTGCTGTTTGGAAATTTAAAAAAAAAAAAGATTTACAAAATTATTCCTAGAGTATAAAACTACCAGCTGGAGAGCTGTTTTCTGTCTCAGAACTTTAGGGTCTTTCCCAAAGAAGGATTTGGGTCTTTAGCATCCTTGCTCATGGTTGGTTGTCTAAGTAGTTTATAAAGGTCATCAGCGTTTTTACTTGCACGCTTGTTGCTTTAAGATAATGATTTTAGGTGAGTTGCTACCCTCCCCACAAATATAAAGGATTTGATAAATTATAAAAACCAAATCTCTTAAACTGGGGAAAAATTTATACTGAGATTATGCCAAAAGGGTACTGGTGGTACCAGATTGGTAGGAGGCTGGGGTCGCACTTTCCTGGAGCTGCCATGCTTGGCCAGCATACTGGGGGGCTGCCATGGGAGGGGACGCTGATGGCAATTATGGGCTGTGCAGAGCCCCCAAAGCTCTCATGGGCCCCACCCCCTTAGAGGTCCCTCATGTGGAGGTGTGTTGAAGGTTTCTCTCAGGGCCTTGCTGATCCAATGAGAGAGAAGTGCTTCTCCTGAGCTTTTGTCAGATCTTTTGTATGTGTTATATTCACAGTGTACTTTATATTTTGCCACGTATAAAAATAGTCATGAACATCTACAGATGTATACACACAGAGAGACCCTTTATGTTTTCAAAAACAAGGAATAAAATATCTTGCAGAGTATGGTGTATTACCAAGAAAAGAACTGTTTTTGTGTTTCTCTTCCTGTTTTCCCATCTTCTGGGAATGATTTTGCAGCCTTGTAAGGAGACTAAGTAAAGGAAGCTGCGAGAAAGTAGGAATGAGTGTTCAAGTTCAGTTTTACTCATGTCTTCTGTCCTTTATGTTCCTTTTGAATACATTAAACCCAGTGTGGAATAGCTGCCTTAGGACCTTGACCCACTCTTGCTTTAAGAAATCATTCTCGTTCTTAAATTTCAATGGTGAAGCCAGAGGCGAGCGCTCGGGAGGTATTTACAGGACTCACGCAGCACCTTCTGCAGTCCCAGCTTCTCTACTGCCCCTTTTTACGTCTGAACCTTCCCTACTGGATTACTCATGTCAACAGGAGAAAGCACAGTGCCTTGATTTAACACATCCTTGTAACCATTGTGGTCCTTCTCTTCTGGGAAAGGAGAAAAAAATAGTGCCCCTAGAGCAGCATGGCCCTGGGAGGCATATGGCTCTTTGCAGTGATTCATTGAGAATTCTGGTAAGAAGTCAAAAATAAGCTTTTCAACAAAAAGATAGTAAGAGCCACAGTAAGGAAAGACCTTATGATCCATTTGGTAAAATAAAATTTGAATTGCAAGGCAGAAGTGCTAAATAAAACTATTATTCTAGGCCGGGCGCGGTGGCTCACGCCTGTAATCCTAGCACTCTGGGAGGCCGAGGCGGGCGGATTGTTTGAGCTCAGGAGTTCGAGACCAGCCTGAGCAAGAGCGAGACCCCGCCTCTACTAAAATTAGAAAGAAATTAATCGGCCAACTAAAAATATATAGAAAAAATTAGCCGGGCATGGTGGCGCATGCCTGTAGTCCCAGCTACTGGGGAGGCTGAGGCAGAAGGATCGTTTGAGCCCAGGAGTTTGAGGTTGCTGTGAGCTAGGCTGACGCCACAGCACTCTAGCCCAGGCAACAGAGTGAGACTCTGTCTCAAAAAAAAAAAAAAAAAAAACTATTACTCTAAATTCTATCCTTATTTATCTCTCAAAATAATAGAGCAGTACTACTTTTGACAGTTTTTCTACTTGCATACCTGAAGTTCTCATTTTGCGATACATAATAAAGCACGAAGAAATTTGGGGAGTTTCAAACCAACATATATGCCTGTATTCATGTATGTCTGATTTTTAAATCAGTATAAATTGTCACTAATTATCATAACACATACTGGCCTAGTTCTTTATGCTTAAAAGTTGCTTTTGTGAACATTAACACATTTAATGCATAAAGCAGAATATTTCTATTCCTTTTTTCAAAATAATATTCAGACAGAACTGGTAAATACTGGACAAAACTAAGTTATAACTGTTGGAAAAGCAGGACTTAACAGAAGCTGTGTGCCCATGACTTCTGCGCCCTGGGCAGTTGTTTGGCTGTCGTGCCTTTGAACCGCTCTGTGAATCAGCTAGCAAGGACATGTGGGCTTTCACAACTAAGCCCCACTTTTCACGCCATCCTGCTTTCCTAGCCTATTCTTCTAAAAAGGGTGTTTTTAATGTACAGGTTTACTAATTTATATCTTGTTAGACCCCAGAGATAAAACTGCACGAAAGCAGTCCACTCCACTGCTTTGAACAGGGCGGTCTTCTTGGTGTAATATCTCTCAGCTGCTTTTTTGAGGTTTCACACATTCACAAAAATAACAGCATTTTTAGCTGATCCCAATAGATTTTTCTCTGCAGCTGCATCACTTGAAAAAGCTTTTTGTTCCAGTTCTTAAAGTCTAAGTATTGAAAGTAATTTGAAAAAAAGAAAAACATCCCAATTATGATTTGTGTTTGTTGTGATGACTTTAAGGACTGACTGGGCTGCAAATGGGCTTTGAAAAACAAGCCAATGTGCCCATGGAAATACAGGATTTCAAAGTGCATTGTTGAGTGTGCTGATGTAAACTCATGGGCACGTGGCAGGGTAGGCTTTTTTGGCAGGACCTATGGTCTCAACCTGCAGTGATGCTAAAGATATTAGCAAATTAGCACCACAAAGCTTGCCAGCTAATTCACCAGGGCCTGCTCACGCTCACTGCTGTAATTAAAACTAATTATTTTCTAAAACATAGTAATACATGAATATGTGCAATAATCATTTTGTAGTGGGCAATCTGTGGAGCCTTTTTTAAAGCTTTTTTTTTTTTTTTCCTTTTTGGCACATTATGCTGCATGCGTCCTGCCTCGGTTGAGCCAGCACTTTCATTTGCAAAATGTAAAATGGATCCTGTTCATAGAACCTCAGGTTTATTTTGAAATCGGAATGCTTTCTGGTTTTCACTCATGATAAGGCTTGTGGCTCTCTCCCCTCTCCCTTTTCTCTTTCCCTCTTCCTCAGTCTGACTCTTCCCACATCTGTTTGGTGTCTCACTGAGCCCCTGCAGCCCAGTGCTGTGCAGATGGTTTTCACAGTGGGGTTCTGTAGAAATTCAGCTGCTATTCCCTGGATAGCTACACTGATTCCCTACTGTAGCCCTGTTCTTCCTTTAAAAAGAAATCTAAACCCGTATTTTTAACCTGAAAATGTCTATTAGCATCTTTAATAAATGTGTATAAATCACGTGTTCCCTGGTGAGCCTTTCATTATAAATCCTGGGTGGGGTTCGTGGAATTTCTGAGCCTGGAGAGGGGAAGCCTGGTGTTGACTCTGGAGCCACATGGGCCTCTGCCCTGGGTGTTGACCTGCTGCCCAGGGTTTGACCACCACAGGCTCTGAGCCAGACTGAAAGGATCCCAGCCCCATTGCAAAATAATTAGAAATCTTTCCCTTCATGATTTTATTTTTGATTATTGTTTTTGAAGTCGTCTGCTATGATCATCTTCCCCCTTACTGTAGACTAGACCATATGCACTAGATAAGATTTTCAAATGAAACAATATGAAATGTCATATGTTTTTACAAACTACAGATTATTTAAATCTATGAAATTAAGAAGGTACCAAATCCTCTATTACCTAGGTAAAAAATAGACACACCCAGCATTTGCTTCCAACACTTGATGACCAATTTAAACACTTGGTTTATTTCCACTTGTTGCCTATTCTTTTAAAGCTATAATAATTTTGAAAAAATAATGATTTGTATCTTGAGCATACAGAATGATTGCCTTTTATTATTATTATTTTTAGATAAGAAAGGATTGCCAGAATGATTTCAGAGATTAGTGTGCTCCAAGTTATAATTTTTTTTCTTTTCTTTCTTCAAGGGTAATTCAGTGCTTCATGCTTCACTCAGTAACTTGTATTGGCAGGAGCACATTCTCACAAATCACATGTATAATCCTAAACTCTTTCTCCTGTTTTCGATTAGCATCTATGGGTCTTGCAGATATGATGTCTCCTGGTGAATCCAAACTGCCCCTGCCTCTCAAAGCCGATGGCAAAGAGGAAGGCACTCCACAGCCTGAGAGCAAGTCAAAGGTACTTCTCCGCCTCTGCACGCAGCGTGGGGTCTGCCTGGCAAAGAGCTGCCCTGTCGTCCTCTCTCTCTGGTGTTGGCTGACACTTTTTTTTTCATTTGGTCTCTTTTCTTCTGCATGCCTTCATTTCGTGCAACATGTTTGTAGTCTTTTCTTCCCCCAGCCCCTTCGTGGTGTGGGTCTGAAAGTTACTAGTTCTTACGGCATTAACTCATGGTGGGGGGAGGAGGGGAGGGGCAAGACCCACCTAAGGAAAATGCTGCGGGGTGGGGAGAAGTAAGGGTCTTGCCTGGTTTCGGTACTTGCAGCCATTTTCTCTGCCTTCAGTTTATAGCTTCCTGTTTTGGCCGCCTCAGCAACAACAGCATACTTAATATTTTGCTTTCCTGCCTTATTTGATAAATAAGGTGAACAGCTTTTTTTTCCTTTCTTTCCTTCATAAGGGGTAACCCATGCTTAGCATTCCATGTAAGCTTGAAGTAAGCATGGGGCTTAGTGGCCTTTTCTAGCATCCAGCAACTCACCAAAGTATACTAATTAAGAATGTTGTTTTAATATATGTGTGTTTTTGTGTGTTTGTTTGTACATGTCTTTATATTTAATATATAAAAAATGAGTCTGTTAAACTGGATGTACTTTTTGTTATTTTAAATAAAGTTTGCCCTACCTTTGTCATTTTTTTTTTTTTTATTCCTCTACCACAGGATAGCTACAGCTCTCAGGGTATTTCTCAGCCCCCAACCCCAGGCAACCTGCCAGTCCCTTCCCCAATGTCCCCCAGCTCTGCTAGCATCTCCTCATTTCATGGAGATGAAAGTGATAGCATTAGCAGCCCAGGCTGGCCAAAGACTCCATCAAGCCCTGTAAGTGGCTCTGGTTTTTTTGTTTTTTTGTTTTTTGGGGTTTTTTTGATAATTAATTAATTCTACTTTAATGCTTGCTTGTTTATTTGCTTTATAAGACTTTTTCTTCATTTATCCATGAAAGGGTTTTCTGTATAAGTAATTATATTAGTAACAAAATGAGTAAAGTTTGCGTGCATCATAGAAGTTGATTTCTGGTAATGAAACATCTGTTATAGAGAAGTACCTGTGTACAAAGCATGTGATTGTGTTACTGGGTCCAAACTCCTTCACACGGTGACTTTGTTTAAATGTCTTATCCATTGTGCACTTATAGAAGATTTTTTAAATGAGTTACTTCTCCATTTACATGGGAACTAATAGCAGCCACGAACCAAACGACAGGTTTGGCTCGACCTCAATTTTTCATGGGTTGTTCTGTCTGAAACATTCCAAAACTGCCTACCTGAAACAGTAAATAAATATTACAATCTGGATACGTTTAGCATAACATCAGCCCTGCTTCGTTTTCAACACATTTGTCTGAAATTAATAAAAAATTGTAGAAATGTTAGTGCATGAGAATTTTTAGATTAATAATATTTACCTACATTAGAATCAGTTGAGATAGAAAAATTGTATTCTACACAAAACTGCTGGTAATCTTGAAATTGTGTTGATTTTCATATGATATATAAATAACAAAAATGATAATGTACCTATTAGGGAAATTTTTTAGCTTCAGTGTTCTTCTGACCATAGAGTTGGGCCTTTATTTTCCTACTAAAGAAATTAATTCTGTGCTATTAAAAAAAAGAATAATGGTGCTGTAGTAACCTTTATTTTACATTCATATAGAGAATCAAAAGATCTTTAAAAAAAAAAAAACCTTACCATGCAATTACTTGCCAAGAAGGCTTAATTAACACTCTAATTTTTGTAAGACGATGTATTGAACAGCACAGCTCAGGAAAAGCAAGTTGGAGGGAAGACGACTCTAGCTGTGCAGAACCTGGCAATCTAGTCAAAACCCCAAAAGGAGGCTGCTATTAATTATCCATTCACTGGTTTAAACAGATAGAGCTCGAAGGTTTGAAGAGTTGGTCGTTCTAGTAAATGTTTGTAAAATTCACATGGAGCTTTAGGATAACCAGCATTTTCCTTTTCAGAAGAATAAAGGGCGATATTTGCTCTTACGTTCTCCGTAGATACGTTTCGATTTTGCAGCACCCGAGATGAAACATGAAATTGCTTCTAGGATGGGTGCAGCACAACTAGCAGGAAGGGGATGCCACTCCCAGATTTTGATGTCTTTGTGTTATTTGCTTTGAGTCTCAGAAGGCAGCCAACAATGTGTGTTTTTCCCCATAGTCAACCCTGGTTTTTTGATTTGTTTTCTTCCTTTTTTTTTTAATAGGAAAAGCATTTTTGAACCAGTAATGCTCTCAAGTTAACAGGTAGAATTCACATAACTTTTCAAAAGCATTTGTGTGTTGGCTCAGAGGAGAAGTTCAGAGGTTGAAAATAATAGTCTTTAAAACTTAAGATAATAATTAATAATAATTTATTAAAAACAAAGACTACTAATAGACCATATTATATGTTTAAAAACTCTCATCTTGCTAATCTCTGAATTAAAAAGGATTGAGATAGTTACTATATTTTAATTTATTAGTCAGATTACCTCCATCCATTGAGTCCTGCGGGAAACAAACTCTTACCAAAATCCTACTTTCTACTTAAATGCAAGAAGAAAGCAAACTGAATTGTAAACTTTATTTTCTGATTATAATACAGTTACACTGGAAATTGCATATTAATTTTCTCTTTTTTTCTAAATATTTTCACATCCATTATCTCTTCCTATACCGTGAATTGTTTTAAGAATGTACAGGCAAGCTTCTGGTTCCACTGGTAGATGGGGATGGGAGAAGCTGTGGTCTGCGGTAGTAGAAGTGTTACACTTTGGCTCTGTATTGAGCAAATAGGCACTTTTTTGAATGAGATGCTAATTCAAGAAGGGGACCAAAGAAGAGTATGATGAAGAACCTTATATTATCTCTGCTATCAAATCACTGCAAAATATACACAATTCAGGAATATTTGACTGCTCTGAGATACCACTTCAATTTGTACTTAAAATTGCTCTTAATAGTGTCCCTAATAAAGCCTGTCTAACAGCAGGTCTGGAACAGACAAAATGATAAAGATGCTCTATGCTTTGACAGTACGCTGTGGACCAACACTGTTTTGTTACAAAACATTCTAAAATAAAAATAAACATGTGTCCATACACACGCACATACACATATTACCAGGCATATGGTAAAGACTTGCTGAAATGTAAATCTGCCTAAAATACTTGAGAAAAATGTACTTATAGGCTTAATTAAAGTATATGCAAGGAAAACATTTGTGGCACCATAATAATGTCTTGCTGCAATTTTTCAGCAATTTCCATTCCTTTTTCTTGCCTCCATAAAAGTTTCTGAGCAGTAGGATACACTTTTTACAACAATGAAGTGCAATACTAGGTGGTCTTTGTGACCTGGAAAAGTTAACCCATCTTTCTCAAGGGGTCATTTGCTTGCCCATTGTCAGGGGTGGAGTGTGTAATAAACACCTTCATCCAAAGGTCCCATCAAGGCCAGTCTCTGTGAACAAGGAGGATGTGTTGAGCCTGGTCAGTGATGACGGTGACAATATGCATGGAGCCTTTTGTTGCTCTGTTCAGACACCCAGGTACTGACTCTGGTAACCCTTTGGCTAGTCAGCAAACCTGGAGGCTGGGGTGGCCTGGACACGACCCCTTTCTCAGCCTCTAGCCTTACTAGATGGGGCCCACGCTCGCTTCACACTTGCTCAGTGAAAGCCTGTTTATAGGATATTTGAGTCAGCTGTTAATTCTTATTCGCATGCTGCCACACTTTTCACATCCTTTTTGTCCATCTGAGTAATCACTCACAGAGCGGATATCTGTCGAGGCCCTTCCGTGTGCAAGGCCCTGGGCTAAGTGTTAGCGATTCAAAATCAGCCTGAACCCTGCCTTGTGGAACTTTGCATCTAGTCAGAAGAGCAGGTGTCAGACAGATAATCACATGCAAACATAGAGTTTTCCACACTGTGTAACAAAGTGCTGCAAAGGAAAAATAAAGTATGTGATAATGGATTAAGGATCTAGGCCCTGATTTAGATCCACGAGCAGGCCCCAGGGTGGCCTCTTCAAGGAGTTATCACATAACCTGGGACCTGACCAGGTCAGTTCCATGCAGATGCATTTTCCTACATCATGGTGCCATAGAAATGCTTTTTGGAAGAGCTAAAAATTATGAAAAATAAAACTATCTTATTAAAAAGTATTAAATTTTTCTAATTTTATGAGAGCAAATTAAGTGCAAGTTAATTAAACTTAAGTTCATTTAACAAAGGGGAGAAAAGTTAAAACATATAGTCAAACTAAGTAAATCATTATCTTAGGCCTGTTTCAGCTTATAAGAATCCCCTCTTCAAAAGTAGGAACAAACAGTTCTGTGCCCCATTGCTCAGTTCATAACTATTCATCTAGAACCATTCCTCAGTTTGTTTAGAGAGGACCAAGCCAGAAATGGCAGGTGGATCTTATATACAGGATATTGGTTGAGCTATTTGGAGTAATTTTAAACTGAAATTATTGCTTTTATTTCTCTTATCCTTAAATTGAATTTCAAACTTTTTTTTTTTTTTTTTTTGAGATAGAGTCTCACTCTGTTGCCCAGGCTAGAGTGCCGTGGCGTCAGCCTAGCTCACAGCAACTTCAGACTCCTGGGCTCAAGCGATCCTCCTGCCTCAGCCTCCTGAGTAGCTGGGACTACAGGCATGTGCCACCGTGCCCGGCTAATTTTTTCTATATATATATTTTTAGTTGTCCACCTAATTTCTTTCTATTTTTAGTAGAGACAGGTTCTCACTCTTGCTCAGGCTGCTTTTGAACTCCTGACCTTGAGCAATCCACCCACCTCGGTCTCCCACAGTGCTAGGATTACAGGCGTGAGCCACCATGCCCGGCCGTATCTCAGACTCTTACTTCTCCATTTTTTATAAATGAAATACAAGAGGGAAGTTGTTTTTTTAAAACTATAGGTGATAATGCTTTTCCCTCATGTTCTTATTTCAGATTTTCATTTTTGAAAAACATTAGACCATTTTTTTTAGTGTACCTCTCCAAAAGAAATAAAATTCAATACTAAAATTTAGAAACGTCCTGATAATAGCTATCCTGTGAGCGATGGCAAAGCTTCTAAGGTGTTGTCAGTGTGAGAATTGGATACAAAGTGTGCTAGAGAGTTTGTTTTCCTAGTGAAATATTCCTTGGGTGTAAGAATATAGAAAATAAATTTAAAAAATTTATCATTTGGATATATAGTGTTTTCTATATTCTGAGTATGTATATGGATCTATAGAAAGATACATAAAAATATGTGTGTTAAGCTCTTTTCTAAAGTAATTTTTAAGTGACTTGAAATTTAACCTCAGCATGAAAGTATATGTATTCTAAAAGATCACGTTAGTTTTTATCCTACCATTCTATACTTCTTATTTACATGAACTGTATCATCCCTTTTTATATATTTGATAAAGACTTTATTCCTCAATAATTCTAAAGCTGCAGGCTTAAAATTTCAGCCAAAATAGCTTTGGAGAATTACCTGTTAGCAAGAGGGAAAGCTGCCACTTCACAGGCTTTGTGAGTTTCATTCTCGGGTATCCTTTTTCAAGGCCCTACTTTTACTGGGGAATCATTTTGTTAAATAAGGTAACATCTAGCCTTAATGGCAATTATGTTATTTAACCCCCCCTAAATTTTCAGAAATATGTTTAAAATTATGTTAAGCTATTCAACGCCAGCATGTCATGAGAAAAAGATTATGTTAAGCTAAATAAGAAAAAGAAAAGGAAAAAACTTAAGAAGAGCTCTGTCTAAAGTAACGGCCATGTATTGCAAATGATAACCTAGGCACGTCTGAATAAAGGAAGTAAATACTTGTTCCAAGAAATCTTTATTGAGAACTTAGATTTTGCACAATAACCCTGGCATTGCAAATACTGCAAATACAGACATGTCATTGTAAATACAGAGACATAAAAGAAAGGGAACAAATACAATTGGTCTGCTTCGAGCTAACACTGTTACCTGTCCGGATCCCGTAATCTGCAGGGTAGGCTCAGCCGTACAGAAACTGCAACTTCAGACATTTTTGTGTCAGGCATAACCAAATATATAAAAATCCAAGAATTAGAGCATTAGTATAAACCACATGAACACATGGCATAAAAAGTAAAGGTATATATTTATCCATAGATATGCTGGGGCTGTGAAACAGCACATGATTAAAACATGGATCCTATTTCTGTGCTTTATTCTAAAGCAGTAGATTAAGAAATCTGTTAAAATAATTATCCAATCGCCCCTTACCTTGACAGAGGAGTTCCAGCAATCTCAACTTGGGAACGCTGGTCATCACGAGAAAGTGGCAAAGCCTTAGCTGACCGTTCGTTTGCAAGCTCAGAGGAGCTTGGGCCCCACAGTGGCTCCTGGGACTTGCAGCCTACCTTACAGTTTTCAGCAAGCACCATGTGTTTGCTGTTCCTCCATGTAATTTAGAGTTTTAATGAAGACACACATTAACCATTCTTGTTTTGACAAGGAAAAATGCGAGTCCATTTAGGTTTTTTGGGCTCTGTCACGTAAAATTTTTAATTCACTGTGCTCATTCCATGAGCTAGCACCCTTTTATTTTTAAACATGACATGAAGTGTCATTGGAATTTTGCCTTCTGGGATTCAACGCTTATATCAAAGTAAAAAAGGGTGTTTTGGTTTTGGTTTTGGTTTTATTTTTTAAGTGTACAAAAGGGGGAGTTTGGGCCCTTTATTTAAAGTGAAAGTAAATTCCTAATTAAGAAAATGTATAGTTTGTGCCTGAACTAGTAGCCTTCATTCCTAATTGTTGTGTGATAGCAGTAGTTTTTTAATCTCTTTTCTTCTTGTATTTTTTGGCTCATTACTTTTTCTTACCTTCTTCCCTTTCCCTCTGCCCACCCTTGCCCCATCTCCACATGCTCCTTCCGGGCATAGAAGTCCAGCTCATCCACCACCACTGGGGAGAAGATCACAAAGGTGTATGAGCTGGGGAACGAGCCAGAGAGAAAGCTCTGGGTCGACCGATACCTTACCTTCATGGAGGAGAGAGGCTCCCCTGTCTCGAGCCTGCCTGCAGTGGGCAAGAAGCCCCTGGACCTGTTCCGACTCTATGTGTGCGTCAAAGAGATTGGAGGTTTGGCACAGGTGAGAGTGAGTGAATAAGGAGGCATCATAAATAAGATCTTACAGAAGCTTTCTTTGGATATGTGAAAAGGAAAAGCCAAGCCTGTGGGAATGTCCCCTCCTGGGACCATGTCTGTGTGCGGGAACATTGGGGCGCCCCGGCCCTGCCAGCACCTTGCAGTGTGACCTCATCAGGTCATTTACTGGGGTCTCAGTTTCCTCATCTGTATAGTGAGACAAAGTAGATTTTTCTTCAGTTTCCCTGACAGCTCTAGAATTCTCTGGAAATCTGCCAGGAGTTCACAGTAAATACTCTAGAAATGTTTTACAAATGACTGAATTAATTATACTAGATGTAAGTCAAATTCACTGTTCAACTTATCAAGGAAATTATAAAACCGTGCGCACAATACCTGGACAGGTAGGAGAGCCAGTGCTGTGATTTCAGCAGGGGTGGGCCTCAAGGGGGGCAGGAGAAACTCCTGGGGCGCAGCGTGTAGAGAGGTGCTCAGAGTCAGTGCCCCCTGGAGTCTCGTACCCGGGCGCCATGCTCTCCTCACCCCGCCCCTTAATCCTTAGTCAGGAGACTCGTTGGTATGGATGTGTCCTGCCATAGAAGTGGGGAAAGGATACTAACGTGTTAGTACCTCACTGTGTGGCCTTTGTCTTTCTAAATACATAAGTCACCAGCCCCAAAGAATAGAGGAGGAAACTCTGGTGTAACAAAATAAATACAATAATTTTGTGGTCCAAGGGCACTCGCAGGGTAGGTGGTGGGGCCAGGTCTGATTCCAGATCACATAGTCTTCCCATTTATCGGCAGTTCTTGAGCTTAGCGATGCATTGGCATCTGCTGAGGAGCTTTTACAAGCTGTTAGTACCTGGGCCCCCGCCCCAGATCAATGAAATGACATTGGGCCCCAGGTGGTCTAATGGGCAGTCAGAATGAGGCACCCTGCACCCACCCAATGTGGTGGGGGTCACTAGCTATCCAAGGGCGAGTCATATAATCCACAGGTTTCCCTGGGGGCCTGCCGTGGTCTCAGTGCTGCAAGTGGGGCATACAGGAGGGGCCTTTGTTCTTGGCCTTCCCCTTAGGTGCGCAATCCCTCCTGTCGGGGAACAGAGAGAGACCTACGACTGAAAGAATTAGAGCTTGCGTCAGGGCTATATATAACCAGATGCTAAACTGTGTGATGCAGACCAAGTGTGAGTGGTGGTCAGCAAGAGGAGTGATGCAAAAGAGCCTCTCTTCAGCCTGGGCTCCCCTGGCCTGTCCCCTCTGCACCTGGCCTCTTCTGTCATAGATTTTCTAGAATCACCAAAACTGCTCAGTTAGATTTTGCTCTTCGCAGCGTAGGTACTGTCTGGCCACCTCACTGTCTCTGCCGGGATTCTCCTGGCTTGGCTGATGAGATTGCTGGAATGGAGCTGGGTGGCGAGCTGGGTGGCATCATCACGTGTGCCCCGTCGTGCTGTCTACCTGGTGGGCGCAGATGTAGTTGGGGAGCAGGTGCCGCAGTCGCACAAAGATCAGCTCAAAGCCTGACTTCTCAGGGCAGACCTACTGTTTGCTGCCTCGTGCTGGGTGCCAAAAGCGGCAAGCGTTCGGTGATTTGTTCATTGTGAACCGTTTAGTACTAAGTAAGTGGACATGAAGAGCTTTGTGAGAAAGTTTGAATCCAGAAATTCACTGCTTCGTCAAAAACCACTGTCCCCTTAACCCTTGCCGTGCTGTGCACCACGGGAGGCGTCAGCGCAAAGCCTCCCCCAAGTTATTTGCACGTCTTCACTTTTCATTCAAGTGTTTAACTTTTCACAGCCTGTTCCCAGTTGGGACTCAGACGGTTGAAGTGATGCCTCAGATCTTTATGTAACATTTCAGTGTTTCTCTCTCTCTTTTCTCTTTTCGCAATCGTGTTATCTGTCTGCAGCCTCAGTGTGTTTGAGTTGGAACACATCACGTGAAGGTGTGTGCCCCGCCCTGTCACCTGAGCTGGCGGCTTTACAAAGCCAGCCAGTGGCTAGTGGCATCGCATTAGGCTTTTAAGTCGGGGTCATTTGGTCAGGGGGCCACAGTCGCCTTTGCACCGGGCGCTGCCTTCACCTGACTGCACAGGCAGCCCCGCCAGGTGTGGGCCTCAGACTTCAGGCTCATTTCTGGGAGCTTGTGGCTGTTGGAAGGAAATGTGGTTTTTCATATCGATGCTCAAACATTTAAATTGCAAAATAGTGCTGTTATATTGCTTTTTAAATTAGTTTTTAGATGCCCTTTTTTTCTTAATTAGAGGTGGGGTGCATTGAGTGTGATCAGGGTGTGTGTTAGAACTCGCAAGCCCTGAGCGCCAGCTCTGGAGAGCGCGAGGCATCAGGAGCTGCAGCAGGCAGGAGGACCTCAGGAGCAAGGCTTTTTAAGTTGCTATCAGCAGGTTCCTTAATGGTTTTATAACTTTAAATGCTGTCTATGCACTACTGAGTGGGAGTAATGAGCATTAGTTAAAAGAGGCAAATGAAAAAAAAGTAAACTAAGACATTAAGTGCTTTTTTTGTCTCCTGGCTTTAAACAAGCCACTTTGCTGCAAACCAATGATCCTGCCATTTTTTTTGCTAGGTTAATAAAAACAAGAAGTGGCGTGAGCTGGCAACCAACCTAAATGTTGGCACTTCAAGTAGTGCAGCAAGCTCCCTGAAAAAGCAGTATATTCAGTACCTGTTTGCCTTCGAGTGCAAGATCGAGCGAGGGGAGGAGCCCCCGCCAGAAGTCTTCAGCACCGGCGACACGAAGAAGCAGCCCAAGCTCCAGCCGCCATCTCCTGGTAAGTGGCAGCGCTGCAGTGTCGGCCACGGACAGCCCAGGGCACGTGCTGGGAGGTTCTGGGAAGGTTGTTTCCTAGTAAAGCAAAGGGAGAACTTGGATCTTTAAGAGGAAGGGATTTTGCTTTGTTTTGTTTACGTAATTGAACCCTTGTTGACAGTGCTTAAGGGGTGAGAGTATAGAATTTGGGATGTGACCGTTTCCAATCAGCACGCTGAGGGGCACCTACTTTTGCTCTATCTTATTTAGTCAAAACAGGCCTTGGAATTCTGAGCTCTACACCTATTCCTTTTACAAGTATTTAAAAAACATTCATATATGTCTATACAAAATAAAGATACCCACTAACCTGGTTTAAACACTTTTGCACTTCTGGAAAATGCTGCCCGCAGGTTTAACAGCCAGCTCAAGCCAGCTCTCCCACTGTTGGGGACGCTCACATTTGTACTTTTGCAAAATGAAATTTGGACTTAGTTTTTAATGTCCCCTGTCCAGCAAGTTCTCACTTTCAGGGAATGCAGCAGAGTGTCAGAAACTGAGTGGTCAGGTCGGCTTTGACCTGGAGGTCAATAGTCTTAGCAGTTGGTACCAAGGTGGCTCCCCTAATTGTGAGGCAGACCACATTAACAACAGCTGCCCGCTCCCCACCAGCTGTCAGAGACCCGGCCATTCTTCCCAGCTCTCCTGCTAGCCTTTGTTCTACCTGTTAGGGTTTCAGATTTGAAATTACTAAATCATACATTCTGATAAATGCAGTGTTAGAGGTGGGAAGAAATTGGCACCTTAGTTCTTGACAGTGACCTCAGTCAAGTAAATCCAACCTTCTCTTTTCCGTTTGCGGTTTCTGGTCATTGTGGAGGCCACTTCCAAGCCCAGTGACTTCAGCACTTAGCCCTGCCGCTCCGGGTCCCTTCGTGTGAGATAGGGGCCTGCACGCACTGCACCTGTGGCATAGCTTGTGCTGAGCACCGCTAGCAGCCGTGTCTCCCGAGCACTTCCAGTGTGCCAGGCACTATTTTAAGTGCTTATCATTTCATCTTCACATCAGCCTTGTGATGTGACTTTAAAATCCACAAGCAAATGGAGGCCTGTAGAAGCTAAGTTCCTTGCCCAAAGCCGCAGAGCTGGGGAGCAGCAGGTCTAATCTGGGTGCCTGGCTCTAGGGTATACACCGTACCCACCAGACACCTCTGCTTGTTTCGGAAATACCTTTGTAACAGGTGAGATACTACCACATGGAAGCCAGAGAAAGAAGCCATTTCCCTTTCAGTGACTTCTTCTAGCTGTCTGGACAGCAAAGCTGGTGTCTGAGGTTGCTCATCAAGGAATCTCACATAAATACTTTTTAGGCCCCAGGTGAACTTGTGGTGAATATACTTAGATTTAGATCTGTGGGTTCTAAGGACAAGTAGAAATCCTAGAAATCCTCCTTTGTAACCCCACCCTTTAAGATTCAAAGCCTTGGCCACTTAGAGTGTACCTTAGAAACTGGGAAATCTAATTTTAAAAATCTCACAACATTACATTTAGTTCACAGAGTAAAACAAGCTGCCTATGAACAGCTCTGAAACTATTTTTCCAAAATAAAAACCCAGTGGGGTGTAGGGACCAAAGTGGTGATGTCTGCAAAGATCTAAGGGTGTATTTCATTTGCCGGGAAAGAACTCGTGTCCCTGAATGGTCTGCACTTGTGTGTGGAGAATAGCTCTCCCGGCGCGCGGCGGCTTCAGTACAGGGGGCCCTGCTGGGGCGCGGATGCTCCGGAAAGTGAAGGGCCTGTTCTCTAACAGCTGGCTCTTTCCTTTCCCCTTTTTTTTAAACTGCCATTTTTATGGCAACATTATCATTTTAACTGCACAAAAGAGCTTGGATTGCAGATGCACTTCTGATAATCCATTCTTCTCAGTGGTCCAGATGGAGCCCAGGCCCTGTGACACAGGCAGGGGAAGGACAGCCCTGTCCTGCTCCGCGGAGAGCAGCGCTCAGGGTGCCACACACGGCCCCAAGGTAGTGGGCGGTGGCCCCGCAGCCGGGAGCCTCTCGTTTCGTGCCATCTATGCATCAGGTGGTCTGATTCTAGTACTAAGGAAAGTGTCTCTGAAACATTTTTGTTGTTGAAGGAGGAGAATAAAATCATTCCCAACTGTCCTCCGTGTCACATGTATTACAAAATTTTTAAAAACTAATTCTCAGCAAATATTTGTGTTCTTTGGAATCACTTTTTTGCATAGGAACATAATTGAAGTAATTTTTTACCAGCACATTCAGGCAAACTAAACTAAAAGATTTTTAAGAAACATTCTAGATTTTTTTTTCAGTGGTCACTCTGTACCAACTGAAATCCTAAATCTAAATCATTTGGCTGCATTCTAAGAGCATTCCAAATCGTCTGTGTCTAGCCCAGTATCCGTGTGATGTGACTAATATGGACCTAGACGCAATTCGGTCACCCCCGTGGCCTCTGGGCTGCACTCGACATTCACCCTTGAGTAGCCGTGTGGCCGCTCACACTGGACATCCAGGCTCCTGTCTTCCGTGACCAGAGCGAGTCAGCAAAATAAGCTTCCCACGTGAGCCCCGGCCAGACCGTGAGGATCTCATAAACACCTAGAAAGGGCTGTGGCAGAGTCTGATGAGCCACCCAGGAGTCACCTCCCCGTGGCCCCCGCAGTCTGAGCCCGAGTGGGGAAGGCAGTGGCAGGACAGGCTGGGAGGAGGGGGCACTGGAGGCGAGGAAGCCCCACGTTCAATTAGCAAGTCTGTAACCAAAAACCCATCCATCTTTGCTGGCAGGTGGCTGACTGAATTTCTATTATTAGCTGACAGGTGATGTCACAAAACCTGTCATGGATCCAACTAGGGAATCCTTAGTGGAAGATAAATGAGAAAGGGGCTCGGGTTATAAACAACGGTGCCCTCTGGTTGACCTCTAGTCACTGTAGACTGGGACATATCAGCTATTCTTGCTTCTCCCCACCCTACTTCCGGCAACCCCGCCAGAACTAGGGCACCAGGTTCGTGCTGTGTAAATTATCCTCCCAGCTAGGAGCCTGGCCATGCTGTCTGAAGTGTGCGAATGTACTTAACCTTCAGTGACCTTTCCATTGTTTACTTTAGAGTATACATTTGTAGTTTCTGGCAAAAGGTAAGGGTAGCCTAGAGAGCATGCCAGCCTCCTCTATTAATGGAGTTGTAAGAGGTTGCATTTTTGTGTGTGTGTGTGGAAGGAAAGGAAAAAACACTGGCAAGAGAAAATGTTTCCATTTTTTTTATTAGCTGTAAATGTGAATACTTGTAAATAGGCTCATTCTGAAATCACAGCCTTGTTAGCCGTGTTTCCAAGGAAGCCGTCGGGGCTGGTGTGGAGTCTGTGCCGCACTGAGGAAGCACTGCCGGGCGGCCCGTCTGCGGGTCATCCTTACACGGCTATGTGCAAAGCCTGCTTTGTTCTTTTATTACAACCTACCGTATTAGCAAGTTTTACTTTTAAGATACCTACATTAAAAGTCAGTCTTTCCGACGTCTCTGAGAAATTCTCCAAGTTGTCAAGTCCAGGGCAGACCTCCTCTGGCTGGAAACATCCATGTTTGGCTGAGGCTTTCTGGGTAGAAGTGACATACTCATTGCAGTTTCTGACCCCTTTACTCTGTAATCTCTAGTGATTTAACCTCCGTGGCCTCTGAAGTAAAATGTGAGTAATGGTGACTGTAGAGAGAAGTGTAACAGCAGCATGTGATATGTTGTTACTCACAAGCAGCCATAATTCTGCCCTCTGTTACGGTTCTGAACGTCTTTACTGTAAACTCCGTGAGGGTAGGTGTTTTTGTCTGTCCTGTCGGTTTGGTACACTGGTGTGTCCAGGCATAGAGAAGGGCCTAGAATATAGTGGGCCTATTATTCATTCAGTAAGTATTTGTTTAATTAATAAATGAAACCAATATCTCTTGAACATCTAACATGCTAAGGACTGTGATAGTTGATAAAGCAGGGCCCTTGAAATATGTTTTTCCTTCAACATGAGGTTAATTAATTTTTTTAAGAATCCTACTTAAGTTTTTCAAAGACCTGTTCAGTTCTGAGTCCTGTTATTATGAGGTAGTTACAGTTAAAGCCAAATCTCAGAACTCTGATACCAACATTAAGGGGCTCTAAATTGGTATAACTTGTGTTTTTTTAATAATAAATCTTTTTGATTTCATAGCTCAAACAATGATTTTTATTAATGACAGAGCATAGACACATTTAGATATTGAGAAGATGTTGAAATGACAAAAGGCTCATCATTAATTTGCATCATTGCTTTTCTCATTGTCTAAGACCCAGAACTGAGTTTTCTAATATTTTTGTAAAGCAACACAATAGTTCATCAAGTTGATATACCAAATTTTTCATCCCATTTTTTTAAATTTACATTTCGATTATCTCCAGTACAGAGAACATTGAAATAAACATTTTTTCTGCCTAAAGCTTTCTTTTTATTACGTTATTTTCTTGGGATAAATACTCAGGAAACAAGTACCCCATGGAAAGGTATAAATATGTTTTATGGATCGCAAATGAAGTAGGTTGCCCAATAGTTTACTCAAAACATTCTTATTGATTTTCACTCTAAACAATGTAAGAGCAACTAATTTTATTACATCATTATCAGCAATGGATATTATTACTATTTCTATTATGATGGTTATCTTTTTTTAATTTATATATATATAAAAAACTAGCAAAGGTGAGCTTACTTGGTAACCTCTAGTTTTTTTCCCATTTTCTCTTGGTGCTGCTACTATCAGCTAACTCAGGATCCTTGCAAGGCCCACAGACCCCCCAGTCAACTGGCAGCAATTCCATGGCAGAGGTTCCAGGTGACCTGAAGCCACCTACCCCAGCCTCCACCCCTCATGGACAGATGACCCCAATGCAAGGTGGAAGGTATGTTCAAACACAAAATTCATGAGCCATACAAAATCTGATTTGTTTACCTATTAATTTTCTGGAGCAAACTTCAAAGAAAGAAGAAATGGTGCTCCCTAGAGAGTTTTTAAATGTTGATTACTACTAGTTTTATTCACATAATTTACTTTAGATGGTGTTTGTGTTTACAGATTTTGAAATTGGTTTATCTTGTGAATACAGTGTTTGGAGGTAACTCCCGCTATATTGTTAAGCTTTCATGTTTTGCATCTCCTCAGAAGCAGTACAATCAGTGTGCACGACCCATTCTCAGACGTGAGTGATTCGTCCTTCCCAAAACGGAACTCCATGACTCCAAATGCCCCGTACCAGCAGGGCATGGGCATGCCAGATGTGATGGGCAGGATGCCCTATGAACCCAACAAGGACCCCTTTGGGGGCATGAGAAAAGGTATGTGCAGAGGGGCCTCTGCCCGGACCTGGTCCTGAGGGCATTTTTCTCTCTGCTGTTCCACCACCAGTTCATCTGTTCACTAGAACATATGTGAATGCTTGCTGACTAAGTTCGAGCCCCAGCTGTTCAACCTACTAAGTTTATGACCTTGGGAAAAGTATTTAGCATTTCTGTGCCTTACTTTCCTCATGTAGAAATTGGGAAAAATATAATAGGACCTGCTTCAAAGGGGATCATGAGGATTAATTAAGTTAATGCACAGAAAGCCCAGAGAAGAGTGGCTGGCACCTTTGGTAAGTCAGGTTGGCAGTACCTAGGGTCGGTGTCGTGGTAGCATTGTTATATTGGCACGAGCCAGCACAGCACTTGGTGCTAGGTAGCATATTGGTAAGTCATACACAGTCCCTGCCTTCATGGAATTAACAGACTCTTAGGAGGGAACAAAAAACAAGTTAAACCACAAATCAATAATTAAAGACTGAGGTTGGTAGAAGAAAGGAAACTAAGAGAAAAAAAGGCTACAGATAACAGTGACACTGGGTGGGGACGGTGGAGGAAAGGACATCAGTCATCTAGACTGCAGAGGAAAGAAGAGTGAAAGGGCCCAGGCAGGAGCCAGCTTGGCGTGTCTGAGGAGCTGGCAGGTGTCCCCAGCACAGTCATGTGGACTTGGGGACAGCTGAGGGCATGGAAGCCGGGGCTAGAGCCTTTCTGCCTTTGTGGCCACATCGATGAGTTTAGATTTGGGTTTTTTGTCTTGGTAAAAGATGTCATGCAGGGAAGTGGCGTGACTTGATTTTTGTTGAGTAAATAAACAAGGGGCCGTCTGTGGAGAACATCCTGGGGAGAAGTGAAGAGTAGAGTGGGGATACTGCGGGGACAGTTCAGGGAGGTGGCAGGTGGGAGCCGGGCACCAGCAGTAGAGAGGGAGCACATGCTGTCTTTGGAGGGGCTTAGGGAGAAGAGACTAATGGCCTTGACTGCGGGGCTGCAGGTGTTGTTCCCTGCAGTGTGGACAATGGGGAGAGGACCGGGACAGATGGGGAAGCCAGAGCCACCCTGGCACATGGCAGGGCGAGGACGGGATGGAGCCAAGCAGAGGTTAGAACCGGGTATAGCCTGGAGTGCTAAGCATAGAAATGCCATCCACAGCCATGGGATCAATGAGATCATTGAGAGAGAGTGCGGGAGTTTCTGATGCAAACGCCAGAGTGACTTTTCTCATTGTGCTTACTGACCCCAGGGTTGAGTCCACACTGAGGTTGTGGCTGACTGAGCTCTGCCCATGGCTTGCAAGCTGCAGGTGGAAACTTGGTATTTTGCTCTTTGGCCGCCTTCTGAATGCATTCAGGTCCTGTGGAATTGAGGCATGTGAATATTACTGAAAAAAAAAAAAGAAAAAATAGTGAATAATATTTTTATAGAAGCACTTATTTTGGGATCCCTCAAATATTAATAATAGTACTTGTGTTGTGTTTAGATGTTGGGATACATGAATTTCTTCATATATTGTCTGAGTAGAGAGAAGCATAAAGCCCAAAGCCTTGGTTTCCATAAGTATTATGGACCAATGAAAAATAACAATGGAGAATCTCAAAAATGGGAATATTGGGCATATACCATTTAAGAATGATACTTGCAATATGTCATATATATTTCATATGTAATATTTCAGATAATCATCATAAAGCAAGATAATCTATCATTTTTCCTCTCAAGAGTTCAGTGATGCTTATTCCAAGTAAAGATTTTGCAGAACATGCAATTCATAAGCTCAGAAATTCAAAAGCTTTGTGAATGTTGGGATAGTTATTTTTCTTAGTGCTATGAGATGTTAGATAGAACATTTTGTTAGTGCTTTTGGTGGCTGTATCTCATTTTTAGGTTCTGAAAATATGACAACATTGAAAAAAACAATTAGTAGTATTTGGAATTTGGCCTCAAAATTTTTTGTGAACCATTCCAATATCCTACCTATATGGTATATTGGATAGCTAGAGTTATATTTCCCTTGTCTCTTCATGCCTATAATTTTTCTTATTGTAATAATAAATGGAGGGGAGAATGTGGGGTTACCTTGGTGGACACTAGGTAGGTGCTTCTCAACTTGTAAAGGGATTACATCCTGATAAACCATCATATCTTAAAAATATCATAAGTCGAACACACACTTTTGACTTGATATCTTTTATTTATGATGGGTTTATCTGGACATAACCCCATCTTAAATCAAGGGGCATACTGAATGTGTATCTCTTTTACACCGTGGTAAAGTAGAACCACCCCACTCTGGGGAGTGTCTGTAATACGTTTTCATCACACATTACCCGGTGTGAATGATACCCAGTGGCTAATACAGTCCCTGGGATATCTCAGTTCCTCTGTTGCCTTACGATATTCGTATACTGAGTACCAGATTCAAGCAGATGAACAGAAAATCCATGGGAAACAGATTTTCTTATGGGTTTATCCCTGTGCTATATAAAGTTCTCCGTTCTTCAGTTTGCCTTGTCCTGTCAGTGAACTTGGTGATGCTCTGGTTTTTTATGTAGTGATCAGCATCAGTGGAAAACGTGCTCTCTGTCGCCGCTGCTGCTGGGGCTGTCGGCCTGTGGCGTTGGCAGTGGAGTAAGCCGAAGAGCCTAATCTAAGACCCAGCAGCCCCGTGCAGCCCTGCCCTGCCTGTGTCCCCGCCTGCCTCCCCACCATCTGATTTCCTTGCTTCACGGATCGAGGCATTGATTGATTACATATAAGTGAACATAATATTTATATATTGCTTAACTAAACAGCATATTTTGAATATTAATATCTGTATACATATTTTGAAATTGAATAGTTAAACCTTAATGCTAGTAATGGATGGGTTGTTTCATAATGCTTTGCTATTATAAACAGTGCTGCAATGATTGTCGAATTGCAGTTATTTTTTCACACTTGTTGGAGTGTTTCTGTGAAATAGATTCCTAGAATAGAGTTGTTGAATCAAAGAATGTGAACTTTTTTTCACTTTACTGAACATCTCAATAATCCTTTATTACGTAACAGCAAACTACCCCCAAATGCAGTGGCTTTACACAGCAACACTTAATCATCTCTCGCAGTTCTGTGGCAGACTGGATAGGTCTTCACTGTGTATTGTCAGCGAGGACGCTGAGGTGGCTGCCATCATCTGGAAGCCAGATTGGGAGCTCTGTGGAGCCGTTGACTGGAGTCCTGTTTGGGGCCTTCCCATGTGTCCTTGGGTGCCTGAGACATGGCAATGGGCTCCAAGAAGGAGCAGTCCAAGGGGGCAAGCCCCCATTGCCAGTGCTGGCCATGTGACCAAGCCCAAAGTCACTGTGGGAGGGGAATTCGCAGGGTGCGAACACCAAGAGATGTGCTGTTTTGGGGGTTGCCAAAGTATAGCCTCCCATAGCAGCTACTGGCAAAAGTTAATGTTCTCAGCAAGACTATGTAAGACCGTGTGGCTCTCACCCCATACTAAGGATGATTATTATCACTCATCCTAATGTTGGCCAATCAGATTGTGGGTAAAAAGCCTCGTAATTGTTTTCACTTGGACTTCTTACATTATTAGAACTCACACATCTTTCATATGTTGATTGACCATTTATTTTTCTTCCTCTGCGAATGTCCATTTTTGTGTTTGCCCATTTTTAATTTGGTTTCCTTTTTTCCTTTTTTCAAGGAGTTTTTGAAAACTCCTTGTGTATTAGGGAATTAAGCTATTTAACTTTATGCCACTTGATTTCTGTCTCTGTTCTCGTGTACAAAATAAGAAGTAATCTCAAAACCGGTTCTACCACAGGTTGATGTGAGATCAAGTAGATAAAATAGGTGAAAGCACCTCGCCAGGTAAAATCCATTACACTTCTATTTGGCTTCATTATTTGACCCTCTCTCTCAGCCCAACAAAGTATATCTAAAATTTTAATCAGCTTTTGCCTCACGTAACATAAAAGGAGCCATCATAGGATGAAGAAAAGTAGTAGTATTGTATACCAATTAAAATTTATATTAAAATCTTTAATTTGCCTTCAGGCTAGTTTCTGGACTTGACCTAATTTCCTTCAGGCTCGGAGCTGATGCTAATTTGCATATCTGACCTAATTGGCACTGTACCCTCTGTTAGAAATAGTTGTATCTCATCCCACCTCGAGCTATTCTTAAGTCCTTAATAAGTTTCTTTATCCTGGTTTTGGAGCGAGTCAGTGGATGAGTGTTTATGTTAAGATTTTCACTTTCTTTCCTGTAAGAACTAACTTTGTATACATACGTTATGTCTTCCTTACAACCACTTCATGAGATGGTATTTATTACTGACTTCATTTTATAGACAAAGAATTAAACTCAAAATTTAGTAACTTGCCCAAGTAAGAAATGGATGTGGGCCTGTATTAGTTTTCTATATTGCCATATAACAAGTGACCACAAACCTGTCAGCTTAAGCCAACATAAATGCATGATCTCACAGAGTCTGTGGGTCAGGAGTCCAGCTGGGTCCTCTGCTCAGGGTCTCACAGACTGAAATCAAGGTGTTAGCCGGGCCTGTGGGTCCTCTGAGGGTCAGGATCCTCTTCCAAGTTCATTCAGGTCGTTGACAAAATTTACTTCCTTGTGGTTGTAGGACTGAGGTCCCGTGTTCTGTTTGACTGTCCTCTCCTGCCTTCCTGACACGAGGTCCCCTCCACAGCATGGCAGTTACTTCTTCAAGGCCAGCAGGGCTCCATCTTTGACTTCTGGGCCCCAATTTATAGGGCTACCTGGATAATCTCCCTTTCAGTTAACCCACAGTCAGCTGATTAGCAACTTCAGTGACACTCGTGGAGTCCCTTTTGCCATGTAATGTAATATAGTCATGGGTGTGATACCCACCCCACTCACAGGTTCTACCCACACTCAGGGGGAGGGCTGTGTGGAAGGCAGACAGTGTGGGGGGAGTCTTTGGGGCCATCTTAGAATCTGCCCCCATAGGACACATCTTGACTCCAGACCTTATGCTCTTTCATTAGTATTATGGTCTGCCATATTAAGGATAAGATATAATACAAAGACAACAAAATTTCTAGAAGGGATGTATGGGCCCTTTGACTTTTGAAATTCTTAATTTTATGCCTTTTATTTAAAATATTGCAGTGCCTGGAAGTAGCGAGCCCTTTATGACGCAAGGACAGATGCCCAACAGCAGTATGCAGGACATGTATAACCAGAGTCCCTCTGGAGCAATGTCCAACCTGGGCATGGGGCAGCGACAGCAGTTTCCCTACGGAGCCAGTTACGATCGAAGGTGAGTATTTTTTAAGATGAAGAGAAGATGACTTACTAGCACCTGCGCTTTCCTCTCATACACATTTCGGCGGCTGAGCCACCGACAACACACAGTGTCTGCTTTCCTGGCGGAGTTAATCGGGAGGCATTTGCTGCGGATCTCTAGGGCATGTCGGGTATGGCCCTACAGCACCACAAGGACCTTGTCCTCAGGCAGGCAGCTGTAGACTCCAGCTGTGGCTCAACTGAGAGCTCCCAGACTGCTTGGCTCTTAGCACAGGGCCTCCCGCCCTCCTCCTGCCTTTCTTTCTTAGGGAAATGTCTATTGCAGTGGTGGCCACATTAGGCTTCCAGTGTTCTGGAAAAGTCTTCTGGGTGTTGCTTTTTCAGATGTTTCCAACTCTTCCCTGTGAACATTTTAAACTCCTTAATTAACATTTCTGAGAACACCCACCGCACAGGCCTTACTGGAGCCTTTCTTAAGGAAGTCATCTTGACATTAAAATGGCAAGTCAGGCTGCAGGCCTGATGCAGATTGATTTTTAACAAGATAGAGGAAAGTCACTGAAATATCTGAAAGGTCATCAGAAAACTGCTCCCTACTTGTCCCTCTGAGTTGGTACTTACTATCACAGCAACCCCTTCCTTTGTTGGTATGTTCTCGGCCTCCGTAATAAGAGACAGGATTAGAAACAAGGATTTATTATAATATTTCTGATTTTTAAAGAAAATAAGATAGAGGTGCAACAGAAGGCCCTTTTTCTGACTGTAGCCACACTGGCGTGCTGGGGACAGGGCTGGCTTTCGGATCACATCCTTCAGAATCGGGTGTGGTGGTTCTGCTCAGGGACCACCTGGGCCAGAGCCTGTGCCCGTCCTCAGGGCACACGCAGGAGTCATGGGAAGGGTTAATCGGCGGAAAGCGTTCCTGAGTATAATACAAAAGGGGAAGAAGGTTTGAAAAATCACTGTTTTACCATATAAGGTTTCTTTATGGCATTTTCTGTGAGCCTGTTCTTGAGAGTACATAGCCATCCATGCTTGAGGTGACACAGTGCTTTCTCATTGTGACCTAAGAATTTATTCTTCTGATTCTTACCCTGGCCATAATGTAACAAATATTTATTTGTGATATCCACATTAATCAGTTAACCATTATGTAATGTTTAGTGTGCTGGAGCAAGGATTTTAGTTAGGTTTGGTTTGTTTTTGAGGGTCCAGGAAAAGCTACTGATTTTGGTTTTTTGGTTTTTGGGGTTTTTTTGTTGTTGTTGTTTCGTGTTTTTGTTTTTTTTGCTGATGAGATTAGAAGAACAGTTATTTTGGCCCTTCCATACATATCACTTTAGAGAGAGTGGTTTGCCTCATTGTTTTCTGTTCTGAAAAATACTATTTGCTGTTTAACTGAAATGTTATTCATGTCAAATTTTATTTATTTCCTCCTAACTATAAGCTTCCTTCTGGGTATCAAAGTAGTTAGCAAAAACTTTCCCCCATGTCTATTCTACATGTGATAGTCTAAAATTTTATTTTATTTTTCCTTATTATTATTCTCTGATCAGCTTAGGAATATATTCAGTCCAATTATTCTCTTTCTCACAGGATTTAATATAGTAACTTAAACCAATTTATTTTTCAAAATTCCAAATCTATTGCCTTTTAAAACATGCTGTTGGTGGTATTTATAATTTCTCAACATAATAGCAGTTGAAAAATAAATGTATTATTCATTTCTATTTTAAGATTTGATAAAAGTATATTTAAATCATCCTCGCTATTCTTTTCTATAGCTTTTTAGAGCACTGGACTTTGAAATTTCAAGTACTTGTATATATAATGATTAGCTAAGTCAGTATCACATGGGTTAATTTTGAAATATTACCTTTTAAAAATTAAACATTTTATGTTCATGATGAGAATGTGAAAACTAGAAGCATTTTCCATACTCCGGTACTTCTTCTAGAAATATTTCTTTTGAGTCTTAGATTCTTTTCGTTGTTTCTTGCTTTCGTTAGTGCCTCACATCACATCACGTGACACTTCCAAGGGTAAACTTCAGTGGTAGGTGGGGCTTCCACCTCAAAGACAGAGGCCACAGGCTTTGACAGGTGCTTACAGGGTGCCTGCCTGTCCAACCGGTATTCCTCCGGCACCTATTAACCACGGCCCGAACCAGGAGTCTGGCACTGCTCCCACGATGGGTGTTCCCGTCCCTTTTGCTGAAAGTTACAGCGCAGCTGCTGCTCAGAGTGCCTCGGTCAAAGGGGTGTAGGGAAAGGGTGAGGCAGTGCCGTGTAGGGGTGTAGCTTCCAGAAATGGATTGTCTGTTTCCCTGTTTGCCTGAAGTTTTGTAAATTAAGTTTTCTTTGAATGCCTTGTTCTAGGCATGAACCTTATGGACAGCAGTATCCAGGCCAAGGTCCTCCCTCGGGACAGCCGCCATATGGAGGGCACCAGCCGGGCCTGTACCCACAGCAGCCGGTGAGTTGGCGAGTGGGCGTGGGGCTCCATGTTCTCTGATTCTGTCCTGGAGGCTGAAACTCAAACTTGTATTACTTCTGAAGGTTTTTAGGAAGTATAACAAAAATGTTTAGCATTTATTGAGTATTCAGAATATAGTTAGTGCTAGGAAGTACTCTTGGCATGTTGAAGTCAGTAAATTAAAAATAGCTTTTTGAATCCTGAAACAAATACATGTTACAAGTTAAGTGTATCCATCCTCGTAAATAATAACAAGTCCAAGTTAGAGTTAAGTATATTTTAAACATGTTTATTGCGTATACTATTATGTCAAAAGTCATTTTAGAACAGAAATTTGTCAATGTTTTAAAGAGACTATGTATAAAAAGTAACAAAATATTACATACTAATAGTGAAAGTTAATTGGCTATTTAAAAATGAGATATGACTGTATATTTTGGTAGATTTATACTGGTTCTCCATTGCAGCTCAGAGAGATTGAGTTGTGTGAGATCTGCACCTTGCAAGTACTAACGCTGTTGCAGAGAACTGCACTTCACGGTGTGGCTTCCAGACATATAGGACTTTGCTGTTTCTAAACAACGTTCAGGGCCAAGGCCTCTTGCAAAATAGAGGGGGTTTTTGTTTCTGTTTTCAGAATTTTTAAATTACAAAGTAGCTTTTAACTATTTATTTAATTTTGCTAGACTGTACAGGTACACTGAATTGTATTATTGAACCAACTGATCTTAAACAATTTTCAAGAACTCTAAGGAAAACCTCAGCATCTCACTGCCTCCCATCAGGTTCCCCCTCCCTGATTAAGTGCTGTCCCTCAGAGCGTCCCCAGGAGGACAGCTTAGTAGCCGGTACTGTGCTGTCCCTGTCAGAGCTGGGACCAGCAGACTTCCATGGGCGAGTCTTGACCTGGATGAGCCAGAAGTCAGGGCAGGAAGCGTGGGGTGGATGTCAGGTAGCACAGTCCAGGCCTAGGAGCTGAGTCCTCTTTGGAGGCTTTTCTGCAAAGTAAGGCCTAAGAAATCCATTTAACCCAGGGCTTTCAAGCTGGCCCCCGGAATCCTCAGTGCACTCCTGTGAGATTAATCCTTCTGCCTCCTGATGGGATCTTAGTGCAGCTCCAAGGCCCTGTCCAGTGTGTGCCTGTGTGGTAGTCACAACGCCATACTGTCCCAATAACGCAGCCAGAGGAGGGGAGACTTGTTTTCTTCCCACGATGTTTCAAGCATAGGAAAACAAACTTTGGAAGCCCTCTTCTGAGTGTGCGACACGGTGTTATATAATACTGAAATATAGTTCAGAAATTGTTTGTTCTCAGTTATTATAGGAGCTTCCCATTTCATTTTGAAGTGAACGTTCTACCAGGTAATAACTGTTTTGCACAATGTAAGTATGCGTGATTATACCTGTAAGAGCACATCAGTATGATTTGTCTTTATGTGACTTTCAGAATTACAAACGCCATATGGACGGCATGTATGGGCCTCCAGCCAAGCGCCATGAGGGAGACATGTACGGCATGCAGTACGGCAACCAGCAGCAGGAGATGTACAACCAGTACGGAAGCTCCTACTCGGGACCCGACAGGAGGCCTGTCCAGGCACAGTACCCCTATCCCTACAGCAGAGAGAGGGCGCAGGCCCCGGGGCAGGTGCAGGCGCACGGGGTCCCGCCGCAGGTGATGGGTGGCCCGATGCAGTCGTCCTCTGGTGAAGGGCCTCAGCAGAACATGTGGGCAGCCCGCAATGACATGCCTTACCCCTACCAGAACAGGCAGGGCCCAGGCGGCCCTGCGCAGGCCCCTCCTTATCCAGGCATGAGCCGCACGGACGATCTGATGGTACCTGATCAGAGGATAAATCACGAGAGCCCGTGGCCTTCTCACGTCAGCCAGCGTCAGCCTTATATGTCGTCTTCAGCCTCCATGCAGCCCATCACGCGCCCGCCGCAGCCGGCCTACCAAACGCCACCGTCACTGCCAAATCATATCTCCAGGGCGCCCAGCCCAGCGTCCTTCCAGCGCTCCCTGGAGAACCGCATGTCTCCAAGCAAGTCTCCCTTCCTGCCCTCTATGAAGATGCAGAAGGTCATGCCCACAGTCCCCGCATCCCAGGTCTCTGGGCCACCCCCCCAGCCGCCCCCCATCAGAAGGGAGATCACCTTTCCTCCCGGCTCAGTGGAAGCCTCCCAGCCAGTCTTGAAACAAAGGCGAAAGATTACCTCAAAAGATATCGGTAAGAATTCCGAAGGTTCTGTCCCTGAAATGAATCCCCATTGCAGTGTAGAATTTTAATTTTCGTTTAGATGTAGGTCCTGTTAATCTCAAAGGGATGAAGTTGTGACTAGAAATTATCAGGGCTTGTTTTCATAGAGGAGCAATAGTTGGAAGCTGCTTATCTGAATTGAGAAATGCTGCCAGAGGAGAACTTGGATTCAAATGGTAGTTTTCCAGGACTCGTGTGTGAGATGAGAGCTCCAAGTAAGAGGGAATCCTCAGTGATTACATACCATGTTTGGGGCTTAAAAATTCGACCCTAACCAGGCCACTTAACCTCTGCCATATGTGCCTGGCAGACCCACTGTAAGGCTAATGAAATGCAAAAGGTGAGCTGAGAAAATTTGAAAGCAAGCCACTCTGTCATTTGGTAACAACATACAGTGAATTTCCCTGGGAAAAAGTCGAAGCCTGGATGTGACATGCAGATCGGTCGATGACGTGACTTGGAACATGCTGCTCTGGCATAGAGAATTGACGTCATCCGTAGGCACGGGTGGTCGGGGCCAGGGAACTGTGTCAGCCGAATGCTGGTGTTGCTTGCTCACCCTCCGTGGCATGTTCTGAATGCTAATCAGAGATCTGGATTGTCTGGAAATACACACCAGTCCTCTGCATTATTTTGGAAATACTTTTAACACAGCAAGGAAAATAATAAATCTTGGTTGTATAAGAAAAAATTTTTCAAAAATCTCAAAATCCCTTGGCTTAAAATCATTTGCAGTGATTACAAAATTAAAGATATTAAATTAATGATATTAAAGATGTTTGCAGTCATTGGACATTAAGGACATAGAGAGACAACAAAAGCAAGGAGTTTTTCATATACGAGGGGTAGTGGGGGAGAAAGGTATAGGCAGATACTGAGCACCGTCCTATAGAGAAAAAATATATATATATAGATGCATATATTTGTGCGTTATATCTAAAATTTAAAAAAAAATTCTTTGTGCATGTTATGCAGTATTTGTCTTCAACCTAGGGAAATTTGTGTCCCTTATTTTAAGAAGAAAGTTTGACTGTTCTGTTATAAAAGTATATGTGCCTAGCTTGGAAAACTTAAAAACTAGAAAAAATTAAAGTAAAGGTGGAAAAGCCCTGCTGCCCTCCCCCACATGAGGCCATGACTGGCGCCTGGAGAGCTCCCTCCCGGCCGAGCGGGGCTGCGCTGGGAGCTATAAGCAGGGTCTCTCTGCCACCGCGAGCTCACGCCGCGCTCCACTGCCAGGGTTCCAGAGATGGCTTCCTTTGAAAATTCAGATATGGATGAGTCTATTCTCCCAGCCCCATTGGGGGGCAAATCTCAGCAACTTTTTATCTGATCATCTGCTTTCTTTAGTGGCAGGGACAGGGAAAACAACAAAAAAGACAGACCTTCTAATTCCTGTTCCTTGGCCCTGAGCACACTCTTGAAAAATCTGAACCATCAAAGTGCTAGTATTTGTCAACAGCACGTTCTGAGGGCGGGAGCAAGAAATAGAAGAAAACAGCATAGGAAAATCAAGACTTTATATCTGAGGATGTGCTATTTTAGAATTAAATTTTGCTTTTATATTCCACATACTTGGCAGCCTTCCAAAGACACCACCTTGAGACACTTGTGATTAGAGAAGGCAAAAGAAGACAGATACCCGTTTGTTTGTTTGTTTGTTTGACTCAGTTATTAAAAAATCTGATATATCATTTCAGGCTCTTGGGTGACTAAAAGAAATAAACCAGAGATGAGACAGGATCATTTGTGCTTAACCACTCCCATGTCTACAAGCACTTTTGGCTCATATTTAACCAACAAAGCAAAAAGATCTTAACAAAAGTTTCTTAGTGCAGCTCATCACCTCCATTTAAAATGCGAAAATAATCATGTTTAACTCTTCCCTTAGAGCATTTGTTTAAAATCAGTGTTTAACTCAACAGTGTCCTTTTTTCTTACTCTTTTGTTACTTTCTATCCTTTTATGCATAGTTAATATTAATTATATCCTTGTTCTGTCCCATTTTCAGTTACTCCTGAGGCGTGGCGTGTGATGATGTCCCTGAAATCAGGTCTTCTGGCTGAGAGTACGTGGGCTTTGGACACTATTAATATTCTTCTGTATGATGATAGCACTGTTGCTACTTTCAATCTCTCCCAGGTAAGCCAACACCAGTCCAACTAAGGACCAAATTAGAATATTGGAAAATTAACCAGTGCATACGTACGCTTGAACTAATGCCCAAGTTACTAGGTACTGCCTAACATTGTTAGTCATTGCAATTGTCATAAACCAACCTTAATCGGTATATAGTTGTCTGGGATGATATCCACTTTAATCTGTAGTATATATATATACACACATACCTATGCTTCTCATAAGAAAGCATTGACTCTATGTGTGTGTGGGGGGGGGTAATAGATAATAGTAAAGTTAAATTGTTGTTTAGCATGAATATTAGCGGGCCGATGGAAATTAATCAAAATGTAACATAAAGTTATGACTGTAGTCAGTGTTAGAAATGCACCCAGTTGCAGTGGGATGTTACCCTACTTTCCAGGAGGACTTGACATCTTTCTTTTAATTAAAAAGCAACTTAAAGTTAAAAATGCTTTATATAAAATATATAGAAGTAGAGAGAACAGTTTAACGCACCCTTCAATCAGCTAAAATAGTTATGAACTGTTGGCCACACTGGTTTCTCGGTCTGCTCTCTACCATTCCTGACTCTCTCAAGATTATTTTGAAGTGGTCATTTAAAAGCCTACCACTACTTCTAATGAGCTTGAAACTCTCCTTTGTGCAGAGCTAGGCTTAAGGTAGCTTCCAGCATAATAGCTAGAGGAGAAAAGAACTGAAGTTTATGAAAAATGCCCAAGAGTCAACTGGGCTGTAGGCTTTTAAACAAATATTTAGAAATAAAAATGAGAAAAGATTATTTTTCCTACAGCATATGAACAATTCTCTACTTTCAGTGGAAAAAGCTAAAACATCTAATTTCCTTGCTCCTGTTGAAATAAGACAAGAATCTCCCACTTTTTCTTTCTACTCTCATTTAAGTCTTCAATATAGCGCAGAAAAGTAATTTTTCAATTGACAAAAAGTATATTAATAAGGTCATAAACATTGCATGAGGTCTGTTTTAGCAGAAAATAAGTATTAAAAAAAATTATACTGCGTTTGCGAGAATAATTAACTTTCATTCTTATATTAGGCAAACCGTTGTTGTTTACACATTATCATAACCAGAATTGCTTTATTTACTTTCTCTTTTTCCCTGGGAAAGTAAACTTTAAGAGGGAGGGCAAATCCACTTGAAGCATAGTACCTTCCGGACCCCAAAAGCATGGACTTTATAGTTGGGGCTTGGGCTTTGCCTCCTTAATGTTTGCTCTAAGCCCACGTTTGTGTCCCCTGACAGTAGGAGATGAAAGTATAGCCGATTTGCATAATGTCCCCACGGGGGAATCCTTTTTATTACATACTGTTCATAGGCCCTGAATGTGGTGAGGGTGTGTTGGGCGACAGGCCTGGCAGTGGCTAATCACAGAGTATGTTGGGTATTTCTTGGTATAAACATTTGCTTAAAGGAAACCAAACTCGTTCTCCTAGGCAGTGGTTCTTGCATAGTAGCTTTGTGTCTTTCAGCTAGAGTTATGAGTAACTGAAATGTAAAATTGTATTTTGTGAAACATTCTAATTCATTTATCAGGGGCTAAATTGATTTGTCTTTAATTTTCAGCATTCATAAGCTACTACATTGCTGAAATTATCTTCTCCAAAAGATATATAGGGAACATAAATTAGGGTAACCTAGGGCACCTGAGACAAAAATAACCATAAAATCCTAAGAATAATAACCATAAAAATCCTGGCAAGCAAGTCTCAGATAAATAATAGAAAAAACAGAGTCACTTTGGGCAAAAGAGTCTATAAAATCTACATTCCCGCTCTTCTAATAATGAGTGCATTGTATCTAAATCAGAAAAAACAAGGTAAAGAACTGCAAAGCACCCCCTCATTGGGAATAGTAGAAATGTGAAAATAAAAAGTAAGTTTTCATGTTAGTCGTGTAAGAAAGTAAGCAGCAAATAAGAAACATGCTAGATGTCGGTTTAGTTAATAACGTAAAATTCAGGAAGTTAGTTCTGACTGATAAGTAGTTTATCTTTCATGGCCCAGCCAGAAAGGAATGAAAACATGTGTGACAATAATCATAAAAACGTGTTGCCAGCTCTCAGGGTGTTTACCTTCTCAGTCATATCTGATGTCGTGACCCTGCACCTGTTCTCTCTCTCTCCTCCTCTCCAGCTGTCTGGATTTCTTGAACTCTTAGTCGAGTACTTTAGAAAATGCCTGATTGACATCTTTGGAATTCTCATGGAATACGAAGTGGGAGACCCCAGCCAAAAAGCACTTGACCACAACACAGCAAGGAACGATGACAGCCAGTCTCTGGCAGATGATTCTGGGAAAGAGGAAGAAGATGCTGAATGTATTGACGACGAGGAGGACGACGAGGAGGATGAGGAAGAAGATGGCGAGAAGGCAGAAGCCGAAGATAAGAACAGTACTGCTCTGCCCGCGCCAGACACCACTGCGGACCCGCAGGAGAAGCCTAAGCAAGCCAGCAAGTTTGACAAGCTGCCAATAAAGATAGTCAAAAAGAACAACCTGTTTGTTGTTGACCGATCCGACAAGCTGGGCCGTGTGCAGGAGTTCAGCAGTGGACTTCTGCACTGGCAGCTTGGTGGGGGTGACACCACGGAGCACATCCAGACTCACTTTGAGAGCAAGATGGAAATTCCTCCTCGCAGGCGCCCACCTCCCCCTTTAAGCTCCACAGGCAGAAAGAAAGAGCAGGAAGGCAAAAGTGATTCTGAAGAGCAGCAGGAGAAAAGCATCATAGCAACCATCGATGACGTCCTGTCTGCTCGGCCAGGGGCGCTGCCCGAAGATGCAAACCCTGGGCCCCAAACCGAAAGCAGTAAGTTTCCCTTCGGTATACAACAAGCCAAAAGTCATCGGAACATCAAGCTGCTGGAGGACGAGCCCAGGAGCCGAGACGAGACTCCTCTGTGCACGATTGCGCACTGGCAGGACTCACTGGCTAAGCGCTGCATCTGTGTGTCAAATATCGTCCGTAGCTTGTCCTTTGTGCCTGGCAATGATGCCGAAATGTCCAAACATCCAGGCTTGGTGCTGATCCTGGGGAAGCTGATTCTTCTTCACCACGAGCATCCAGAGAGAAAACGAGCACCGCAGACCTATGAGAAAGAGGAGGACGGGGACAAGGGGGTGGCCTGCAGCAAGGACGAGTGGTGGTGGGACTGCCTCGAGGTCTTGAGGGATAACACGTTGGTCACGTTAGCCAACATTTCTGGGCAGCTAGACTTGTCTGCTTACACGGAAAGCATCTGCTTGCCAATTTTGGATGGCTTGCTGCACTGGATGGTGTGCCCATCTGCAGAGGCACAAGACCCCTTTCCAACCGTGGGACCCAACTCGGTCCTGTCGCCTCAGAGACTTGTGCTGGAGACCCTCTGTAAACTCAGTATCCAGGACAACAATGTGGACCTGATCTTGGCCACTCCTCCATTTAGTCGTCAGGAGAAATTCTATGCTACGTTAGTTAGGTACGTTGGGGATCGCAAAAACCCAGTCTGTCGAGAAATGTCCATGGCGCTTTTATCGAACCTTGCCCAAGGGGATGCGCTAGCAGCAAGGGCAATTGCTGTGCAGAAAGGAAGCATTGGAAACTTGATAAGCTTCCTGGAGGATGGGGTCACGATGGCCCAGTACCAGCAGAGCCAGCATAACCTCATGCACATGCAGCCCCCGCCTCTGGAACCACCTAGCGTAGACATGATGTGCAGGGCGGCCAAGGCTTTGCTGGCCATGGCCAGAGTGGACGAAAACCGCTCTGAATTCCTTTTGCACGAGGGCCGGTTGCTGGATATCTCGATATCAGCAGTCCTGAACTCTCTGGTTGCATCTGTCATCTGTGACGTACTGTTTCAGATTGGGCAGTTATGACATAAGTGACAAGGCAAGCATGTGTGAGTGAAGATAGAGGGTCGCATATAACTGGCTGTTTTCTGTTCTTGTTTATCCAGCGTAGGAAGAAGGAAAAGAAAATCTTTGCTCCTCTGCCCCATTCACTATTTACCAATTGGGAATTAAAGAAATAATTAATTTGAACAGTTATGAAATTAATATTTGCTGTCTGTGTGTATAAGTACATCCTTTGGGGTTTTTTTATTTCTTTTTTTTTTTTAACCAAAGTTGCTGTCTAGTGCATTCAAAGGTCACTTTTTGTTTTTCACAGATTTTCTTTTTACTGTTCTTTTCCATGTTGATTGCATTTTTGGGGGGAAGTGAATTGACTTTAAAGAAAAAAGTTGCAGCTAAAGATGCTAAGATGGGAAAATCTCACCACACTGAGGCAAAAGGGTGAAAAATTATCAATTTCCTATGTGTTTTATTCTTCAGAGAATGAAAAAAAAACTGTATCCCATCACCCAAAGCTCTGTGCAATAGAAATTTCTAGAAATATAAGTAGGGGCTCAAGGAGGTGTGTCAGTCAGTAGTCAAAACTATGAAATGATACTGGTTTCTCCACAGGAAAATGGTTACATTAGGCTAGGAGCAAAAACAATGTTTTTTAAGTTAAGATTGAAAATACATACCTGACAACGATCAACGGAAATTGCTTCCTCACCACTACCGTCATGTCTGCTGTCCGGCGTTTGACCTTCCACATGACAGTTCTTCACAATTCCTTTAATCATTTTTTAATATTTTTTTTACTGCCTATGGGCTGTGATGTATATAGAAGTTGTACATTAAACATACCCTCATTTTTTCTTTTCTTTTTTTTTTTTTTAGTACAAAGTTTTTAGTTTCTTTTTCATGATGTGGTAACTACGAAGTGATGGTAGATTTAAATAATTTTTTATTTTTATTTTATATATTTTTTCATTAGGGCCATATCTCCAAAAAAAAAGAAAGAAAAAATACAAAAAATAAAAACAAACAAAAAAACAAAAAAAAAAGAGGGTAATGTACAAGTTTCTGTATGTATAAAGTCATGCTCTATTTCGGGAGAGCAGCTGATCACAGTTTGCTTCATGAATCAAGGTGTGGAAATGGTTGCATATGGATTGATTTAGAAAATGGTTCCCAGTACAGACAAAAAAGAGAAAATGAAAAAAATACAACAAAAAGGAAGAAACACAACTTCAAAGATTTTTCAGTGACGAGAATCCACATTTGTATTTCAAGATAATGTAGTTTAAAAAAAAAAGAAAAAAACTTGATGTAAATTCCTCCTTTTCCTCTGGCTTAATGAATATCATTTATTCAGTATAAAATCTTTATATGTTCCACATGTTAAGAATAAATGTACATTAAATCTTGTTAAGCACTGTGATGGGTGTTCTTGAATACTGTTCTAGTTTCCTTCAAGTGGTTTCATAGTAACCAAGTTATTTACAAGAAATAGGTGAATACAGCTGTGTACTCACATTATAATACCCTATGTTTGGAAGAGACCGTTAGGGGTTACCTACTTTAGAGTGGGGAGCATCAGTTTGATTTTCTCAAATTATTTAGCTAATTAGTCTTTTTTGAAGCAATTAACTCTAATAACATTGAGGTATGATAATTTTCAGTATATATGGGATGTGGCTGCCAACCCACTTGAGGTGAGATCTCAAAAGCTTACTGGCCTGAAAATGTAACATTCTGCCTTTTACTAACTCCATCTTAATTTTAATCAAAGTTCAATCTATTCCATGTTTCTTCTGTGTGCCTCAAAGTTTTGCATTTAGTTTACTCCACCATGTATAATATTTATATTGTGCAATGTTAAAGAGAATATGTTATATTGTATGTGGTGTACATAGTGCAAAGTGATTATTTCTATTTCAGGGCATATTATTATTCTCATATTCCTTCCTACCTGGTGCACAGTAGCTTTTTAATACTAGTTACTTCTAATTTAAACTTTTTCTTCCTGGGTCATTGACTGTTATTGTGTAACAATCAATTCTTTGAAACTGCTGCACAATTACGCCGTTAGTGGACCCCTCCTGATTCTGACTCTACCTCTTCTCACCCCTCCTCAGACACAGCACACTCAGAATCCCCAGCCCTCCGCCATCACCACTGTCCTGTTCTCATCCCTCCCAGTAACACATGGACGAGTTAGACAAGAACATGTAGTTACAATCAGTGTGAGGCGTGACTCTACTGTCACAAGGAAAGAAATAATTTTTTCTGCAAGCAGCCTCTCATCTATCAACTCCCACATTACTTAGTCAAACAGTCTTCTTACAAAACAATGCAGCCAAATACATGTTGAATTAAAAAACCATTTATAATTCCACTTTAAATACATCTGCTTGCTAAGAACAGATTTTAGTGCTCCCAGCTTAAAATACGGAAATTTGTAAGAGGGAATTCAATATTATTCTAATTTCTCTCTTACAGAGTATGAATAAAAGGTGTATACAATATCTAATTCTTTTGTCAATCAGAAGAGTAAAATCTTTACGAACGATTGTTGTTATCGTGGTTTGAGTTGTAACTGGTACCCAGAATCTGACCATTGAGCAACAAGTTTTTATATGCAGATATGCAACTCAGTCTCTAGAATAATCCAGGAAGACTATAGCATCCTTTCTACATTCTCACCCCAGAATCAAGACTTACAGAAGCCCATGGAAGAATTTACAGCCTGCTTGAGATCATCTTGCCTATAAACTGAGTTATTGCTTTGTCCTAAAAATTAGTTGGTTTTTTTTTTTCTATGAGGCTTTTCAGAAATTTACAGGATGCCCATACTTTAAATGTGTACCAAAAAAAGATAAAAATAAAGGTGCAAAGAAAGTTTAGTATTTTGGAATGGTGCTATAAAGTTGAATCTGTTGGTATTTGAGTGAATTTTTTTAATGTCACGTAAAAGATATTGGGTGGCATCTGCTCAGCAGTAGCTATTCGGAATGTTTTGTTTGAGGTTGAGAGTGATACAGAATCAGTTTTTCCTGATGAAGGTGCCTGTTCAAAGACTAGTTAAGCTGTTTTTTTGAAGTTATAACAGAGAATGATTTTTTTTAAGGGGATGTGGGCAGTCTTATACAATGTAAGCTATTAACTACCTCTTTTATGAAAAGAAGATAGCCTTTGCCCTGAAATCCATCCATTTAAAAACTGTTGGAAATCTTTCATTTCCTATCAAACCACATACACCAGTTCCTATATCTGTTCACCTACAAGGAAGCAAAGTATTACAAATGAACCCAAAATGCACAGTCCAAACAACCCACGTTCTTACTGAGTTCTGGTTCTCTTCATTACCTGGACAGCCACAGCCCAGATGCCTAAGGTCCTGCTCACCACCACCCCGGCACCCCACGCACCACCCTAGAGAACCTGGAAGTACACTGTAACTTCATGGTCAGGCAGGCTTTTTAAGACTCTGATAAATACTTTTGGTAACAGTATATAATCTGCTAAGATGCCACATTATTCATGAATTCAACAGAGATGTATTGAGCACGTACTACATACGTGCCAAGCTGTTCTAGCCCCAGGAGTCATCAATGAACGACAACCTTGTTTCAATTACATTCTAGTCTTTCATGTGAGATAATTATAGAAATAAACTGGTCTTCCAAATAGTGTTTATGCGTTGAAAACACTCCGAATGTGGAGTGTTTACGCATCTAAAACACTCATTTTTGACATAAGCAATAGAGTAAGGCTCTAGCTGTTGCGAATCGAGGTGGTGAGAAGAGCTCTGAACTAAAATCAAGAAGACTTAATTAGTGTCACCTGCAGCATGGCCCGTAGACCTGTGTGCTCCACAGAAGTCTCTGAGGCCCCTCCCAGCTCTGAAATGTTCCTCGAGAATATCTAGTTCCTGTCCTGCTGGGGATCCCAGGTGGGTGCTTCTGAGTCCTGAGTGGATGGACAAAAGCCCCCGGCTACATGCCCAGCCCTCAGAAACGCAAGAACTGACTGAACCTGACAAAGTCCTGATTCCAGGCCTCCCGTTCTGAAGTTGGAGCTGTCAGGTGCTCCTGTGGCGCCCACAGATTCCCTGTCCTGGTTTGATTTTAGGATGGTCCAAGCCATGTAATCCTCTAAAATGCCACGTTAATCCACTTTGGAACCCTAAGGGAAAGTTGGCCGGAGGTGATCATCAAGTGTGTCCCAAAAATAGGAGACCCATCTTCTTCCAAAATCTGATTTTAGGGACTGAAGTATTACTCCAGCTTTTTCCAAAATGTATTCTAAGAAACAGATCTCAAAAACATCTCCTTACATACTCTCCTTTGGGTGATCTGTGATCCATATTACCATAGTAAAGGCAGAAAACATGCCTGCTTATCCCAAGCATTTCCTGACCAAATTAACCTTGGAACTTTTTTTTTTAAATAATTTCTCTAACCATGATGCAGAGTTTTGGAAAACACCTGCATCAGGCAGAGAGCATGGCTGACTTTCCTCCTACATTGCCGTGTTCCTGCATTCTTGTTCCTTAAACTGAAATTAAGATGTCCTCATTGAAGAAGACAGCACGGGCTCTCCGTTTGCTGTCTCTTTGACCTTGAGCAAGGTACTTGGTTTTTCTGAACCTCAGTTTCCTCACCCATAATATGGGCATAAGACTTACAGAATTATTGAGGATGAAGTTAGATGATACATAAAGGCCTTATAACACACATGACCGTGTGTATTAATCTCAGACATACATACATACATACACACTTCCCTTTGGCCAGTGCCCTAAACTGTCACACAATCTAAAAATAAGGCCTAAGAGAGTATCTTCCCATTTTCATAAGCAGTCACACACTGTGTGTGACTTGATTGGTTTTCTTGTAAAAGCCTCAAAGGCTTAGTCTGTCAATTGCCTGTGTTTGGTGCCACAAGGGATTCAGCATCATTTCTCTACCCAGTGCAGTTTGGGATGTTCCACACCCGTGATAGAAGATCCCACTTTTTGCAGACCTGGGGGAAGTGGATCTCTCAACCCACCCTGACCTTCTAAAAGAAAGTAGTTCGTAACACCTTTCAAGGGCCAGACATGGGAGGCACCAGATCACAGAGTTTTATTTGATACTTACCATCAGACACACAGCAGAGAGCTTCCCCGAGGAAAAGGAGCCACACTTCCCACTCAGCTGGAGATGGGCCGTGGTTCTGTGGGTTGTGGAAGGGGAATTCAGGATGCTCTTCGTTTCCGTGGAGGATTAAAATCAGGTAAATGAAGCTGGAGCTTTTTTATCTTATGCATAAATTTGGTATTTAGCTAGCCGGGACCTACAAAATAAATTTTCCCAAAGAATTAAGGAAACCTAGACTTGGATGTAGCTCCCTTAAGATGGCCTTCACTAAACGCAGCTCCTCCAGGCAAGAACCGTGGCATTTGTAACTGCCTCCTGGTTAGTGGTGGTTACTTCCCATTTGAATGTTTTTTGCACTTGAGGGAACTGCATGGCTATTAGTGGCTTCATGAAGCCTCAGTATTGAATGTCATTACACCCAGCCTCCAAAAACAGAAGCATAGGCTGACGTGTATTGGAACAGTGACATGCCAAGCTGGAACAAAGCTGAGACCAAGAATGTGTATGTACCCGAGAAATTTTTTCAGCTTTACACAAAATCCAGAGGAGACTAGGGACTTTTAAAACAGAAGCTGCGATGTACATTGGCCACACATATCGGAGGGAGAGAGGAGTCTTTTGTTAATACTTCATGCATATGCTCACTTTATATCTGTGCCTCTATTAAAATGACATTGTTTAAATTTAAGCCCAAATCAGGAAAGCTAGGTGACACTGCCTTTGCGTAGCACGCTCTTCCAAGGATCTCTCCTTGCTATCATCAGAATTCTCCAGGGCTTCCTCCATATGCTTCACCGCTGAGAAATAAATATAATTATCATCCCCTCCCTGGTGTAAGCAGTTCATGTTACGGTCTCTTACCTGTGGGACTTCCTTGGGTCTCCCCTCTCATTCTCAAGCCCAAGGTCTGTGTGAAGTCCTGTGAGCAGCTCGAGATTCAGTCCCTAATGCTGCAGTCCCCAAGCCCCAGGCCGCAGCCTGGTACTGGTCCGTGCCCTGTTAGGAACTGGGCAGAGCATCACCTGAGCTCTGTACCCCACCCCCACCCCAACCCCCATCCCCTCCCCACCCTATCCGTGGAAAGATTGTCTTCCATGAAACCGGTCCCTGGTACCAAAAAGGTTGGGGGCCGCTGAGGTTCCCAAGGCATGTCAGACGAATTTTCTGCCCACCAGAATCTTCAAATACACCACGGAAGTTTTATTGGAATTTAAATTTCTTCAAAAGTACTTTGGGCCCATAGGCTTTCATAAATGATACTTTATGAAAAATTTGAATTCTGCCATCACTGTTAACCTGCTGGCTAACTTTTAAAATTGAGATTCATGATCATGCAGGGAGTGGGCCCGTCCAGCAGGGCCTGGCATGACATTCAGCCCTGTATTGACTTCGGTGTTCTTGGGAGCTTCACTGACTAGGGGCTATAGAGTATTGTACCTAGTAAATGGCCTCTTTGGTGCCCCTGTTAGACACCACTTAGGGTTCTAATTTCATAATATTTTCTTTTCTTTCATGTTTCACTTTTCATTCACCCACTGAGACTTAGAAGACACCTGAGGAATGCCAAGTGACAAAAGACATTTGGGGAGGACACCAGTTGCTTATGTCTGGCTCGGGGCTATAAAAGTGCTGGTCTCGTCAGAGAGCTTATTTGTTCCTGTGGGGGGGAAATGACGGGGTGCATTTTAACATGGTTAAGATGAGTACATTTAGCATGATAAAAAAGATTTACCCATAAGTGCAATGCTTGTTTTGTTGGTTCAGTGTGTTTTCACCAAATGGTGTGAACATATGGCCAGCGCTCCTCTTGGCCATAAGATCTGAAGGGAGAAGACTCCTGGTGGCGAAGAGCCACAGTGATTTGTCACGATGAGTTTCAATTCCAAAGGGGAGCTCAGAGTGAAGGCCTCTCGCAGCCAACTTTCTATGTGCAATCTCCTCTCCCCGCATTTAACATTTGATGTCTGCCATGTGGGTAGTAGGAGATTGGAATACGTCTGGAAAAAAATTGGGTTTTGTTAATTAGTGGAAGTTCATCTTGCTCAGCCCTGTTTTCAAAGATTAAATTTGATATATTAGTTTGGGGGCTCAGAGTACTGAGCAATCAAATCTTGATAGGAACTGGCATCTCTTCCCACCTCCCCAGAATCTGTCTTTAACAGCCCTTGTTAAGTGGTGAGATCTGTAAGTGCTGTAAATTGCTCTCAGCCTGATGCTCAGGTGTTGCACTTACACCCTTGACGAACACTCTCCTCCAAGCCTTGCCTGGCTTCCTTTATGCAGCTAGAGGTGAGAAGTCTATTGTTGTCTATTTCCAGGACACGAAGGGGGAGCTCCTACCTACCCCAACCCCTCCAAGGCATGGGAGTCGAGGGGGCACGACCCCCCGGGTTGCCAAGGGGTGCAAGACCGGACTGGGTCTTCCAGGAGGGCAGGTGTCTTGTCAAGGGACCGTGATTCAGGGCCCGCTGGCTTCACCACCTCCGTCGTCCCCTTCGGCATAGCACAGTGGTCTGGCATGTACCAGACATTTAATAAACCACGTGCTTTTCCATTCCTACGATGCCGAGCACCCTCCCCGGCCTGACGGTCCGCACACACGTCAGCGGGCAGGACGTGGTGTTGCAGGTGCCCTGGGAGGACACACGGGAGAAGAGCCCGGCCTTGCGGAGCGGCCACCTGGGAAGCTTGTGCAGGGACGGGGCGAAGAAAAGGAGGAGCTTCTTTCCCAGCAGAGGGCTTACCGCACAGGACAGTTAAGGAAGCTCCTGAGCATTCTGGAATCTCAAAG